CCACACCTTCCCCTTACTCTACTGGTATCACTACTCTCATTATCGGTCCTGAGGGGTTTAACTGTCCTGTATTCCCTGTGTTGTGAGCTCTTATTTGTACCTGTGTACATGCTCTGGTCTAGCTGGATTTGTAAGGTAGAACTGGGATCATGATAGTGGGGGGCAGGAAGCCTCTATTAAAGAACTAGAGGACAGTTGTATGTTTCCTTGGTGCTATACTGCACCCTGACTGGCTTGTCTCTTCCTTGTGACCCTTCCTTGTGATGTCCGGTTGCCTACAGATGGGCTTTGGGTCTCTACTCTGCCTTCCCCTCATTCACATTGATATATTTTTTTGTTCTCGGTCTTTGATCCCATTGATACCTCATGGTCAAACTGGCTGGTGTGCTTCATCCATGTAAACATCATTGCTTCTTAGCTAGATGTCCACTTGTTTATCTTCAAGCTATGTCTTTTGATAGCTGGGCACCATCAGCTTTCTTCACCACATTTGCTATGTACTCATTTTGTCTTCAGTGATCGTGTTGGGAAGGTGGGCATCACAGAATGCCAGGTTATTAGAACAAAGTGTTCTTGCATTAAGGGAGTACTTGAGTAGAGGCCCAATGTCTGTCTGCCACCTTGATACTTAACATATAAATATATGTACACAGATCTATTTCCCTATCGTTACATATAAATATATTTACATATGTACATGCCTGTATTTAGACCTCTATAAATGCCCATTACCTCCTATTTCTTTACACTATTTCCTTTTACTTTCCTCTTATCCCACTATCATGTTTGGCCTTCACTCAGGTTTCAGTAATTCCTCTCAGTTACATTGCCCTTGATCAAGCCTCCTTGCCCTACTTGCCATTGATTTTAGATCACTTGTGGTTCCCTTATCCCTGGGTTTGTTAACACCCATTTCCTTTCCCCACCTCCCATCTCTCGGAGACATTAGAAAGCCACATCTTTCTCCTATGGAGTGGCTGGTGGGTTTGAACTCCGACCTTGTGGTTAGTAGTTGAGTGTGTGGCCCACTCCACCACCAGGTAGGTACAAGGTTCACAAAAGTCATGGTAATTCTGGTGTCTGATTAGACCATCCAGATGATGTAGAACCAGAGCAAACATTCCCAGGCAGCTGCAGACCCCACTGGCTCATTTCAGGACAAGGTAGGTCTTTCTCATGGGTGAGGTTTTGACTCTTCTCACCTTCATCCAATGACATTTTGATTTACTTAAATGACTTAAATCATAACCATTTTAAAAAGTGATCAATGTCAATCATGAGAATTAAAGCATTTTTAAAAAGGCCTATGCACTGAGTTAAATTTCACAAAGTTAATCATTTAAAAAAAAAGAAGTTGACATTTATCTTGTACAACCATCCTGGGAGCCAGGTAGTTACCATTTTCCCCACACTGTGGATGAGCGGTGAGGCAGCTTGCTCAACATGACAGGGCAAGTGAGTGGATGGGCTGAGCCAGGACTTGAACACAGGTCCTATATTCAGTGTCCCTTCTCCTGCATCCGAATTATATCCTTTTGGACATGAAATGTGAGACAACAAGGGCTATGACCAATGGATGAATGCTGGGTACGGGACTTGAAGGCACCGGTGGCCTCATCAGGGCTGGGAGGAGGGACATGAACAGAGATAGTGTCACTCTTACTTTTTGGCAGCCACGGCACAAACAGTTCCCAGCACTGCAGGCTTGGTCACTTTCCCTCCAAATGCCCCACCAGCTCGTTTCATGTGGCAGGTAATTCTGTTCCTTGGGATTTTTAACCCAGCAGCCACAAATTCCTGCAAAAGGTTAAGTCTCTGAAGTTACGGTTTAATGATGTTTCTACTCATGCCTTCCCTCTGCCTAGTAAAAGAAATGTACTAATTCAATACTTCATCATTTACAGAGTTATACAAATATCACCATCATCTAATTTTAGAACATTTTCACCACCACCCACCCCAAGAAACCCTCTATTCATTAGCAATGCTCCCCAACCCTCCCAGCACTACTAGTTAGTAGATTAATAACCCCATGTGTGCCAGACTAGAACTGTGTTTTCAGTGGCTGAGCTTCTGGGGTAGCAGATGACCAGGCCTTTTTTCTGAGGGGCCTCTGGGTGGACATAAACCTCTAACCTTTCAGTTAGCAGCAGAGGTTACTGAGTTCCTGGGTGGTGTGGTTAACACACGCAGCTAAAAGTGCCTCAGAAATAGACTTCTTTGCCTGTGTTCCATGGATACATGAAGACATCCTTATAGCCAATTAGCTGCAAGGAATACACATGCATCCCCAAAGCTAATGCAAAAGTAGTACTAAGGCTACTGGCCTTCTGAGATTAAGCTTTACACTAGCAAATACGATAAACAGAAGATGAACTTTGTCCTAGATTTTGGAAGTTAGCACAGTCTTCAGATTGCCCTGAAAGAGCTGTACCTTGTAAGGAAATATTTGCCCATTTTCTTCATTCTGAACTTCAGCTAATGGAAACATGCGGAGAGTCTGGGGCTTGGGAGCAGAGGCATCGAAAGGCACTCTGTGGAGTGCTGAGTGTGAGGGCCTCACAGCTTATGACCAACTGCAGTCTCGTTTTCCAAAACTGTCCTCTTACCTGCACGTGGGTTGTATGCTGTGTTCCGAGATGCAACTCCATTTCTTTATCTCCTTCTTTTGGGATAGCCAGGATGGTCTGCGTTTCCATGTAAAAATGTTCCTGTCCTTCCACATGGACTTCACCTGTAAAGCATAAACATACAAAAACATTGAATTGAAAGTCCCTATTTGGTGAACAAGAAGCCCTGGCAGGGTCGTGGGCTCTGCATTGAGCTGTTAACTGAAAGGTCAGTGGTTCAATCCACCAGTCACTCCTTGGGTGGAAAAAGAGGCTGTTTGTTCCTGTAAAAATTTGAAAGCCATGCTGAGACCTGAGCAAGCCTTACAGCGGAGACCTGTGCCAGCCTTGAGATGCTTCCATCCCCATTGAGTCCATAGGACTTTTCACCCACCGACCTGTGATTTTCCTGCATCATTGCATGTGGCTGTGTGAGTCTGAAAAGCATTTATGGATCAGTATTGGACTTATGGGCTAATATCAGTCTTATGGACTTGATCTGGACTGGACTGGGATGTTTTCTCAATATACAATTACTCTTTGATATAAAGTTCTTTCTTACACATATATAGGTATCTCTGGATTTGTTTCTTTAATCAACCCTGTCTAACACAATCACTTACCTTCAATGATTTGATCAACATATTTAAAGGCTTGCTCTACATTTCCTTGTTCAATTTTTTTCTCAACAGAAAGAAATGAATTGTGCTCTAGGGCTTGCTGTGATGGAAAAACAAAAAACAAAACAAAACAAAAAAGGTGAAGCAATGTCATGCGAGTAAGTCATGAACAAGAATGGATAACAACGAATAATACCAATAACAAATAAGTCAATGGCCTCTTATCAATCTCACAGCCTTACTCTACCAGATCTTCACAGTGAGACAATCAAAATGTGTGAAGAGTCAGTAGAAGTTCATGCAAATGGATGACAGGCATTGGTGACCCAAGCGATTTGTTCAGGGCTCTGGGGAGGAGCTGAGAGGGATATGAAGATGTATAAAACATGATCCCCATTCTGTGGAGATCTAATTGATGGTGATCTGAGATCATTTGCTCTCTAGGTGTTAGTTTCAGGGCTAGGACAGCGCAGGGGCAACAACACAAGTAATGGGAAAAGGAGGAAGCCAGTGGGGTGGGCTGTGTGTAGGTGACCTGAACTGGACAGGACTAGGACTGGGATAGATGAGAGAGGGGAAATCATTTGAAGTCAAGGGCACTTCTGAAATGGAAACTGACACCAAGCTAGAGGAGGCCAGGCTCGCTGGCGTGCCAGTTTTCTTCAAGTAGTAGTGGGAAGTAAACTTGGTAGGGTGGGACGAAGCTGGATGTTGACAGACCTCCATATTATGAAGTTGGAGCCTTATCTAAAGGGGATGCTATTGGGAAAATGGTCTGATGAACTTGGGTTAGAAAAGTTAGGTGCTCGTTAGGTGCAGGTGAGTCAATAATCTTAATGTGAACAGATGGTCTGCTCTTTCTCATAGTGGGTGGGGGTGTGGAGGGTGGGGATGGTGTTGAAATCCCTGCCTTTACAGTTAGCAGCTGAGCATTGAACCGTTGTGCCACCATAGGTAGGTAGATTGAAATGAAATCACGAGAGCCTCTCTCAGTAGTTCTTGAGTAAATTCAACAATAAGATAGTAAGCGTTAGTGGAATAGAGGTGAAAGGAAGATTGAAAAGAAAATCCAGGCTGAAAGGGCACTTAAAAGGATGACTACATAAGACTTGAACTTAGCTCTGCTGAGAGGACAGGGGAAGATCAGCGAGGGAACGTGTCCAGCACACATTATTGAAAGCGGACAATGGGAGCTGTACTTCGAAAGGCACTGAGAATGCAGAGCGCAATACACACATCCTTTCCCTCATTAACAACAACAGAAGAAAAAATAGCAGTTAACATCTATTGAATCCATTACATGCCCCAGATGCTATTCTTTCTAAGCACTGTGATTCTCTCATGTAAATCTCGTCATATCTTTTAGATGTACTTTCATGATTACCATTATGAAGACGTGGGCACAGAGTTTAAGTAACTTTAATAATGTTATAATAGCTATTAAGAGGTGAAGTGGACAAGCCCCAGAGGTGCGATTAGATAAGGGTTGTATTACTACTGTAAGATCTGTGGTTCAAGTTCATCAGCGGTGCTGAGGGAGAAAGGTGAGGCTATTTGCTTCCAGAAAGAATATGGCCTCTGAAACCCCACCTAAAGTCATTAGGAGTAGAAATTGACTGGAGAGCAGTGGGCTTATGTTTTGTTTTGAAGAGATTGAGTCAGACTATAAATCCAAGCTTTGGCTCCAGAGCTGGGGCTGGATAATTGGGAGGAGGGACAGAGGTGCCAATGGTTGTAAGGCAGTACATGTTTATGGCTTTTATGACTTTCATCATGCCCTGGATTTCCCCAGGGGCTAGTTTTGAATACGAGGTCATGTGAACCATCCTCTGGTGTTGCTAATCTGTAATCTGAGGCCATGACTTGGCAAGTGGCCGGGAGAAGAGACGTGGATACAGGATGCTTCCTTTCTTGGGTGCCTGTAGAAGCACTTCAGGAAGAACAGAGGCACTAGATGGGAAATGTCTCCTTTTGTCTGAAGGCTCAGATTGCTGCAACCTTCACTGGAGAACTATAATGATCACACAAGGTATAGGCGGAGCCCAAATTATACTGCTTTCTGACTGGATGGGTTGAATTCTGCTCAGAGCACGCTCCTTCTCCGAGTCATGCCAGAGGATACACAGAGGCTTCACTACCTCTATTGTTATGATCCTGGGGTCTATGTCTTCGTAAGCAATCTTCACTTTTTTGGCTGCCTCTCTTGCATGAGCGTAGGTATCGGCAGCCACCGTGCAGACGATCTGACCCACACAAATGACCTGCAGAAAAGCCACATGTAATGAGCTAAAGCAGAAGTGGATATAAAGCAGACACGGTTCCCACATTCTTAAAGTAAGTCCCTTTTGTGTCTAAAATAAAGATAATGAGAACAAATATAAAAACAGGAGCTTGAGTGGAATGGGGGAGGAGGGCACCAAATGGGTCTAGAATTATCTGCCTGTAGTTATCTGGCTTCTGATGATCCATTGTATTCCTTGCCGTTCCCAAACCATACACCCTGATCCTGCCATCTTGAAATTCGGTGGGTTCTTTAACATTCTGTGCTCCACATGACGGAGGAGCCCTGGTGGCTTAGTAGGTTACAAGGTGGGCTCCTACCCACAAGGTCAACAATTGGCAACCACCAGTGGCACTGAGGGAGCAAGGTGAGGCTTTTGACTCCTGTCAAAAGTTACCGCTTCAGACAGCCCCAGAAACATTTACACTCTGTCCTACAGGATCACTACCCACTGGAATTGACTAAATGGCAAAGATTTTGGTTTGCATATAGTAAGAGCTCTGGTCTGGCCCAATGGTTGAGCACTTGGATGCTGCCTAAAACTGTCGGTGGTTGGGCCACCCCAGCTGCCCTGCAGGAGATAAGTGTGGCAGTCTGTCTCCTTTTTAAGAAATGTACACTCTTGGAAATCTGATGGGGCAGTTCTATGATTCATCATGAACGCAATCACACCCAAGTTTCATGACATTTTAGGTGTTGTGTCAGAGAGGGCCTCACGATTTTGATCAGAATCTCAGAGAGACGCATAGTTGGAGAGAGAGGTTGAAAACCACGGGAGTAGAGGGATTGGATTATCCCAGTCTTTATGGTAAGTTTTGGTGTCTTAAAATATTGTCATTTTGGCATTGCCAGCAAAGCATGTGAATAAGAAACCACACCCCACTGTGGCTTCCTCTAGTTCCTAAATGCTTCTTCCACCTCCCCCCCCACCGCCCCACTAAATCAAACCCCCACCCCCCGCCCCACTATCATGATCTGAATTCTACCTTGCAAGTCTGGCTAGACCAGAGGATGTACACTGGTACAGATAGGAACCAGAAACACAGGGAACACAGGACGGATGATCCCTTCAGGACCAGTGGTGTGAGTGGTGATACTGGGAGGGTAGAGGGAGAGTGGGTTGGAAAGGGGGAACCAATTACAAGGATCTACATGTGACCTCCTCCCTGGGGGACAGAAAACAGAAAAGTGGGTGAAGGGAGACATTGGACAGGGCAAGAAATGACAAAATAATAATTTATAAATTATCAAGGGCTCATGAGGGAGTGGGGAGCGGGGAGGGAGGGGGAAAAATGAGGACTTGATGCCAGGGGCTTAGGTGGAGAGCAAATGTTTTGAGAATGATGAAGGCAATGAATGTCTAAATGTGCTTTACACAATGGATGTATGTATGGATTGTGATAAGAGTTGTGTGAGCCCCTAACAAAATGATTAAAATAAAAAGAAGCCACACGCAAGCCGCGCACCTCATTCTGTGCGTAGAAAACCTCTCCAAGATAGTGATTGTCTCCCGGCACATCCTCCGCCGTTATGACATCAACAACACCGGGAAGCGCCAGGGCTTCAGAAGTATCTATTAACCTAGGAGGAAAATTTGAAAGTTGCAGGAGGGTGGCTCACAGTGCAGGAAAGACGATGGTTCAAACAAAGAGACAAACAACAGTGGGCCTCATGACTGAATCAGCAATCGTCTCGGTTGAAAATACCATTGTATAGTAGGTACTCTAACACTCCGCTTAAAAAAGAAACATTGATTCCCAACAGGGACTGAGTATTCTTAATTTAAATGTTGAATAAACTCCCCAATAGGCAGCTGTGAGCTCCGTGCAGTAGCATTCACTGGGGATACAAGGCCGTCTTTTCTCTCCTTACAGGATTTTTGCATGTGCCCTGGTGCTGGTGACCGGAGCCAGGAAGAGTTCCCGGGCGATGGGGGCGATGTCATCACAGTACACAGCTTCTCCTGTGGCGTGTTTAATGGCTGACTGGTGCATGACGGGGTGGCCAATGGGATCTTGTGGGGGTTGGCGGGGATCCACGCACTGTTAATGAACAAAGCAAGTTAACCGAACACTAGAAATCCGTGAGCACTGAACGGTGAGTCTGATACATTGGATTAACTCACACAGGAACACTACAGGTAACTGGGTATCCAGATCAGGGAGTCAAAGTTCATGAATATCCATTGAGAAGTGGGGTCTGGGATATGCTGCTTATCCTCCCCCTCAAAAGCAAAGCAGAGCGAAACACCCAGAGAAGATGTTGGTCCTGTTTTCTCAAGCATTCCCCAATTTTGCTCAGTCATCAGAATCCACCCAAGTGCGCATGGAAACGCTGTGGCCAAATTCATGGAGCAATGGCAGGAATTTGCTCTGGGGGCACTGTGACTTAGGAGCGAGGCTATTAACTGCCAGGTGGGGCTGAAAACCCACGGTGGCTGCGTATGAGAAAGATGAGACTGCTCTCGTAAAGATGGACGCTTTCCTCAACCTGTGAGTTGCTCCGAGTGGAAACCGTCTCCGTGGCAATGGTTGGAATATGTAAAATGAAAGGATGCAGCTACCTGGGAGATCCAGGGTTGTTGTTACAATTTGGGGAGAGTTTTATGGAGGTGATACATTGACGTAACCCTATTTTCTAGCTATGATGATGCGCAGTGCTTTCAAATCCACATAAAATATCCCCTCTCTACCCGTGTCTGCTCACATAGATAAGATGTTTTCACCTTTGATAAACACCTAAGCCCCCAACATGAGTTTCAAATAGACTTGATCAGTAAAATCCTCATGCACTGTGCCCTCTTCCTGTCACATTTCCGGCAAAACCCACAGTAATGTGTGGGTCTGCTCCATTGTTGTGCCTGGGGTCCTCCACCCCCGCCTTCTCCTCACGTGGCCCTGCCTGGGACCCCAAGGACGGTGAGGATACTTACTACACGTGACATGTTCGGGCTTTCCTCACTTGATTCACATTCAACTTCATCATCTCTCCACCACCACTAACACGTGTCAAGTTAAAATACACGTTGGAGATAGGTGTTAAAAGGAGGACAGAGACATTGGTTAAGGAGAGTAAGGCATATCAGGCAGCAAAACGGAGACCAGTGGCGCGAGGAGATTCAGAATCTCATTCCTTGTGCACTCTTCCCGGAGTAAAAGCAAAGAAGCCAAACCAAGGACGTTGTGTGTGGCCGACAGTAGGTAGCACTAGCTAACCACCGTGCACTTCGCCTTTGGAGGAATACAAAATAAAGTGACTGATGTGAAGGCGGTGGAATTTTAGAAAGTATTGTTACCATTGTTGAAGAGGGTATGCACATAATTTTGAAAGTCAGGTAGTGTCAAAAAGACTTGTAGTGCTCTTCTATTTCTACCAAACTAGTCACTTTTTAAAAACTGGAAATTAAGAAAACAAATGAATTTGGTTGTTGTTCAGAATGTATTTTGAATGCGCAAACAGATTGACTCCCCCAAAGTCCTTCCCACCAACCTCAAACATCTGAAGTCCTTGTGGTGTCGCTATGGGAAACTCTTTGAGGGCGCTCAGGAACTCTTCTGGGATATCAGGGAACTTCTGGGGGTTCTGAAAAAAATTGTACAGATTGAGTGATTAGGTTGGAAAAGGGTGTCTAAGAGACATTATCCAATTGACTGTCCCACGCTTCAGACACCAATTCTGTTGCCATAAAGCCTGGGGCTTCTAGATTCCTAGCCTAGTAGGGATTAAAAAAAACTATATTTTTATATGCACACAGAAATATGAACATCATTTCCAGGATGTGAAGAAGTGAAAAATTATCTTCGTGACACTGTCTCCCTTTGAATAAGGGGACATTATGTACATATTATATATATATTTATAATATGTATTTAAAAGTTACATATACATATATACTTAACTTTTCATTCTTTTCCCATTAACTTTTTGAAACCCCCCTGGGAAAAGCACCCCCCCACACACCCCCACACATGCGTATATACTTGTAAATGGAAGCTGTGGTTTGAATTGGTTCAAGGTTTTTGATACAGATCTTAAGGAAGCAATTGAGGGACTGGGCAAAGCTTGAGCTCCAGGGATGTTCAACTGGAGATTAGTTGCGACAGTGAAAAATAATAGACCTCATCCTAATAGCCAACAATAGGAAATGGCTAGCCATAGTATGCTACATCCAAAATGTTTAATACTCTGCAGTCACTATAAGGAATTTTATAGAAGTAGATATTTATTGATGTGTACGAAAGGCATTTGCAATGAAGAAGTCATGGGTCTTGCAAAAGTCTGTTATGCGATCTCCAGCTTCATTTCTATCCCCAAGGCCACATTTTTCAAAAACGGATCTTTTATTTTTGTTTCTAATTTTTGTATTTCAATCACTAGTAACTATCAATACATCTTGATTTCATGCTTGATCAACCATTAAATATCATTTCATTGAGAATTATTTAATGGCTTTAAAATATACTTATAAGTAAAGTAAGCAAGCTATACTAAGTATATATATACTAAGTGTATGTGACATATACACAGAAACACCTTTAGAGAAATATTCAGAGTACACACACCAGATATCAGTTGTGTTTGTTGTTTGGTGCTCGCCACTTGGCCCTGACTCCTAGCAACCCTTAATACAATGGAAGGAAACACTGCCAGGTCCTGCACCACCCTCATCATTGTTCTCGCCCTTGAGCTGATTGGGGCAGCCACTCTGTCAATCCATCTGTTGAGGGCCTTCTTAAGAGTGTTAATCTATTGGTGAGAATCCTGGTGTCACAGTGGTTAAAGCACTAAGCTACTAACTGAAAGACTGGGAGCTTGAACACCAGAGCTGTGGCAGTCTGTTTTTGTAAAGATTTACAGTCTTTGTAAATTAGACTTTACCCATGAATATGTATGTTTGACAGAAGATATTTCCATATATTTAGTTAGATGTGCTGCAAACATACTTAAGGACCTAATTAGAGTATACAGGTGTAAAACTTATGAAAACTTCTTAGCCATAACCAAACACCTTGAAGAAACAAAGTGTTCTTGGGGGTTCAGGAGCCTAGTTTCAGGGGACATCAATGTCATTTGGCATAACAAAGAAAATGTTCTATATTAAGGTGACCAGATTTTAACATTGGTAAAGCGGGACACCATTGATAAAACTCATATCCTGGCGAAATAGCCACATGGCAGCCGAAAACTGTATACCCTAGCTTGTCGTGCATTCTTTCCAAAAATCAGGACTTTTTAAAAACGCCGCGGGATGCGGGGAAAAATTGTTAAAAATCGGGACTATCCTGCCAAAAGCGAGATGTCTGGTCACCTTATTCTATATCCCACTTTGGTGAGAATTGACTGGAGTCTTCAAAGCTTATGAGCAGTAGCCATCTAAGGTGCAGTCATCGGTCAGTCTCTCCCTGCTGGAGCAAACAAGCGTGAAATAAAAGAAAGAGCCATGTAAACAATGGCCCAAAGGCCTAAGTGGTCACGTGAACCTCATAGGAGGTCCTGGATAGAGTGGAAGTCTTCACAAAACAAAAAATGAATTTAAAAAAGACAGACACTGAGACATCTTTCAGGCCTGGAACTTTCATGGTTCAACATTCACTAAAACAGGCAGGACAATAAGGTAAATCAACAATACCAGGGAGGCATGTGTGTCTTAGAACCATTAACCATGTAATACCAAAAGGGCAGCATCTGCCCACGGATAAAATTCACAAGGCGGGAAGGGGAAAGAAGGATGAACAGAAATGGAAGACACGGGAGAAAGGGCTCAGAGTGCTGTTGCTTTGTGGAGATTCCAGTGGATGTCAAGGAACAACACGTATGCAGAGTAGAACTGTTCCATCGAGTTTTCAAGGCGAGACCCTTGCAGAAGTAGATAGCCAAACCTGTCTTCAGAGGCTCCTCTGGCTGTTATTTTAAATTTATTTTTACTAAAAACGATATTATTTATTTTATTTTATTAAAAATTATTTTTATTTATCATTTTATTGGGGGCTCTGACAGCTCTTAAAGCAATCCATACATCAGTTGTAGCAAGAATATTTGTACATATGTTGCCATCATTATTTTCTAGACATTTACTTCCTATTGAGCCCTTGGTATCAGCTCCTCTTTTTTCCTCCACCCCCCCCACCCTCGTGACCCCTTGATCAATGATAAATTATTATGATTTTCATATCTTACACTGACTCCTGTCTCCTTCCCCCATGTTTTCTGTTGTTCGTTACCCAGGAAAGGGGTTTGTGTGGTTATTTGTTGATCACTGCGATTGGTTACCCCTTCCTCCCCGCTGCTTCCCCACCTTCCTCCTACCCTCCTGGAAGCACTACTCCTGTTCCTGTTCCTGGATTCTGTGTGCCGTGAGCTCTCTCTCTGTTCTGTACCTGTGCACATGCTTCAGTCTCTTTCTGTTATTGTTAGGAGCCTTTGAGTTAGTTCCGCTTCGTAGCGAATTCATGTGACAGTAGAGTAGACATGTCCCACAAGGTTGCCTGGGTGTATTCTTTGTGAGAGTGGATTGCCATGCTTTCCTTCAGAGACGCTTCTAGGTAGGTGCCAACCACCATTTGTTGTTGTTGTTGTTGCAGTCAAGCACTTAATCCTTCATACCGCCAGATGCCCATGCTGTATTATAAGACCAGGCAGAGCCTCATTCTCATTCACATGGATGCTAACATTCAGCATGTCAAGGCTCCCAGGGAAGTCACTTACTATTTTGTTCAGTCCTCGCTTCACTTTGAGGTAGAACTTGAAGAGTAAGCTGATGATCAGGGTTCGCCTATATTCCACCATGCCGCCCTTGGCATCTGGGGGGATGTGAATTTCATTTAAGACTAGTCTGCAGGCGTCGCTGAGCATGTGATCATCCCATGGTCTGGAAGGAAAGAAGTGGATGTTCACAGAAGAGGCAAAAACAAACAGTACACTGGGCAAGGAAAGAAGGAAACAATCTATTTTCACTTTAGAGATCTAAACAAAACATCTTCAAAATATTTCACTGGCTCTCTTTTAGTATCTAATACAGTTGTTCCCAATTTTGTCTATACCAAATCCTTCTTTAATATGGTTTTGAATTTTGTGGGCTGGCTGTGTTGATTTGCCTCAAATAGTTTGGGTTAAAAGGTACTATAAATGGAAGTTTCCTGAGATCTGGATCTTTGTCTTGCTTCTTGCTGGATCTCCAGCAACTGCGTTAGAATATGTGCTATATTAAATAGGTAATAACTAAATTATTGAAGATAGTTGTAAACCAAAAACTTGCACAAGAAAATGAAAAACCAAAAGAGACCTACATAAATGGGAGAATGTACCATGTTCATGGATAGGAAGACTTACTACTGTGAAAATGTCAACATTACTCAAGGTAACCTATAAATATAATGCAATTTTAATCACAAATCCCAGAATTATTTTTCAAAGAAATAAAAAAACTAAACTAATGGAAAGAAACTTAGGATTAAAAAAACACTACCAAAACACAAAAACAAAGAGGAAGCCTATTTGAGCCCTGATTTTAAAATATATGTATTACATAGCCAAGGTAGACATAGCAGTTTGGTATTGGTACAATGATAGACATGTGAATCTGAATGGAGAACCCAGAAATACAACCAAGTACATACAGACACCTGATTTTTCATAAAGGGCTAAAGCATATTAAATAGGGAAGAGAGCTTTTTATTTTCAACAAATAGTGCTGGAAAAATTATATCCCCTCTGCAAAAGAATGAAACAGGACACATGACTTTATACCATACAGAAAAAACAAATTCAAGATGTAGTAAAGACATCAGTATAAACCCTAGAACTATAAAGGATATCAATGAAAAATAGGGACAAATTTACAGCCCTAATACACAGCATAAAGACATTATCAAACTTAATGAAAACCACTCACATGACAGAAGACAAAATAGAGGACCACTGAGACCTCCTAAATGCACATTTATGCACAACAAAAGATTTTATCTAAAGAGTAAAGAAAATCCACAGATTGGGGGAAATGTTTTGGCAATGATATATTAGGTAAAAGGCTAATCTCTAAAATCTTCGAAAACTGTAACACTTAAGAAAGGAAAATGAGGGAATACCAAAAATAGACTTTTGGGCCAGTGTGTGGCACCCCATCAGACTCACCAGGAAAACACTTCTAAGGATCAACAAACAGACCTTGAATTATATACAGGCTTTTATTTTCTTTTGTTGCTTTGTTTTGCTATGTCTTGTTTTTGTGTGCATATTATTATCTCTGCAGGTCTATCTGGATATGATAGGTGGGATAAACAATCTGGAGGAGAAAACAACGGACCAATGGTTCTGGGGGACATAGAAGAGGGGGAGGCAGGGAAAAGGAAGTGAGTGTTAACAAACACAGGAACAAGGGAACAACAAATAATCCAAAATCGATGGCAAGGAGGGTGTAGGAGGCCTGGTAGACCTTGATCTAGGGCAATATAATCAAGAGGAATTACTGAAACCTAAATGAAGGCTGAACATGATAGTGGGACAAGAGGAAAGTAAAAGGAAATAGAGGAAAGAACTAGGAGGCAAAGGACATTTATAGAAGTCTAAATACAGGCATGTATATATGTATGTATATTTATATATGACGATGGGGAAATAGATCTATGTACATATATTTATAGGTTTAGTATTAAGGTAACAGATGGACATTGGGTCTCTATTTAAGTACTCCCTCTATTCAAGAACACTTTGTTCTATTAACCTGGCATTCTTTGATGCTCACCTTCCCGACAAGATCGCTGAAGACAAAGCGGGTGCATAAGCAAATGTGGTGAAGAAAGCTGATGGTGCCCGACTATCAAAAGAGGTAGCATGTGGGGTCTTACAGGCTTGAAGATAAACAAGGGGCCATCAAGCTGAGAAGCAACAAAACTCACATGGAAGAAGCACACCAGCCTGTGTGATCATGAGGTGTTGATAGGATCAGATATCAGAGAACCAAAAATCATATCAATGCAAATGAGGGGGAGGGTGGAGTGGGGACCCAAAGCCCATCTGTAGGCAATTGGACATCCCCTTATAGAAGGGTTGTGGGGAGGAGATGAGCCAGTCAGGGTGCAATGTAGCAACAATGAAACATACAACTTCTCTCTAGTTCTTAAATGCTTCCTTCCCCCCACTATCATGATCCCAATTCTACCTTACAAATCTGACTAGACCAGAGGATGTACACCGATACAGATCAGAGCTGGAAACATAGGGAATCCAGGACAGATAAACCCCTCAGGACCAATAAGGAGAGTAGAGATACCAGGAGGGTAGAGGAAGGTGGGGGAGGAAGGGGAACTGATCACAATGATCTACATATAATCCCCTCTCTGGGGGACAGACCACATAAAGTGGGTGAAGGGAGACATTGGACAATGTGAGACATGAGAAATAATGATGATTTATAAATTATAAATGATTTGTGAGGGAGGGAGGGTGGCGGAAGGAGGAAAAAAAACGAGGAGTTGATAAGGGCTCAAGTAGAAAGAAAATGTTTTGAGAATGATGATGGCAACAAATGTACAAATGTGCTTGACACAATGGATGTATATATGGATTATGATAAGAGCTGTATGAGCCCCCAATAAAAGTATTAGAAATAAATACATTTTTAAAAAAGAAAGAAAAATGAACAATCTTATTAAAAAAATGAGCAGAAGACATGAATAGACAATTCACCAGAGATAACATCCCAGTGGTCAGCTATCATATGAAGAAAATGCTCGTGATTACTAGACACAAGAGAAATGCAAATTAAAACAATGGTGAGCTACCACCTCACACCAGCAATGATGGCAAAATTCAAAGAAACAGAAAAAAGCAAATGCTGGAAAGGTTGTGGAGAGAGTCGAACCCTCATACACTGCTGAGGGGATTGCAGAATTGTACAGCCATGATGGAAAACTGTATTTTCTTCATTAATTTCCTTAAATATATGCAACAGTATTAATTTCCTTAAATACATGCAAATAGAAATACCATATGGCCCAGAGATAGTTAAGGTTTATTGTGCCAACCTGGCCAGTAAACACATGTGGGATTCATTAAAGGCAGAGAGATAAATGGCTTGGTGAGCCTCTCTCTCTGGTTCTTGGGTTTCTTGCTCTCTGATGATCGAACCAGGGTGCAGCTGCCTTAGCCAGTTCCCTGCTTCAGCTAGCAAGGCTCACTTCCTGTGAGACATCCCTGAGAAGAAGCCACATGGACTTACCCTGATACAGCCCTGGGTACTGGAGAATCTGCAGGAGATCCCTGCCAGTGCTGAGATGCTTACACTGCCACTGGATTCAAAGGCTTTCTACCCACTGCCAATGCTGAGATGCTTACACTGCCACTGGATTCAAAGGCTTTCTACCCACTGGCCTGTGATCCTCCTGCACTTGGCGTCATTATGTGTGTTTTGTGAGATTGAGGAGGACTTTGCAGATTGGCTAAGTCGGACTTATGGGCTTGGCCTGGACTAGGTTGGGATGCTTTCTGAATGTATACTTACCCTTTATATAAAACTCTGTCTTATACATAAATGAGTTTGTGTGGATTTGTTTCTAGTCTACCTAGATTAACACACCCAGCAATCTCTCTACTCAGTCTATACCTCAAAGAAACAAAGAGCAAAACACAAAGAGATATATGCACACCCATGTTTATCGCGGTGCTTTCCACAATAGCAAAAAGATGGAAACCACCAAAATGCCTGTCTGTGGAGGAATGGACACACAAAGTCTGGTACATATGTACAGGGAAATGTGATGTGTCCCTCAAACGCGACGATGAAGCTGTTAACTCCTCGTCACAAGGACAAATTTGGAAGGCATTATGCTCAGCAAAGTTAGTGCATCTTGTAATGACAAATAATGTGTGACACCACTATTATAAAAGAAATCAACTTTGAAGGTTGGGGAGAGGGAGGAAACATGAGGAGAAAATGAAATAAAAAATAAATAAAAAAGAGAGACAGCGAGACACTCATATATACACACATAGGCAAAGAGAAAAGGAAGAAGGAAATTGTTCCTCATATAAACAAAGAAGATAGTTGTGAAATATTTTACCAAGGAACATTTCTACATAAATACTTTGGAGGCATCAAGTTATTTTAGTTACCTGAGGAAACAATATGGCTTGAGTTTTACTTGTTGACAATGAATATAAGGAGTGGATACAAATGATTGTACAAGCGCTGGCTGGCAGAATGAAAAAGAATTTACTTTCCAAACTAGAAGAACTGAGTCACAGGAAGCGCACCATTTAACACTGTAAACCATTCAATCACATTCAATGTGACTTCAGATCTCAGCGCACAGTCTTTGTAACACTTAGTTATTTGTAGGTTCGTGAAAAGTGACAATTTCGAGATAAGCTTCATTTGGACTATGTGATTTGTGCATTAATCTTATAACAGAACCCCACAATAAAGAATCATTGTCTCAATGGCGGTTGACCGTCAGGTGACTTTCACATCCTTGATCCATTTTTTGTAGGGTTTAACATTTTTCAATGAGTATATCTGTTTTTATAATCAGAAAAACATTCTTCAAGTGCTATTTTTATTTTAAAGAGAGAAAGACATAAGAAAAAGGCCTGAGCTCCCTGCCACAGATGTGCTCGGACTTACCTCCCAATGAGCTGCTCACAGCTCTCAGTTGCAGAGATGACAGTGGGGGCCACGCCTCCGTAGAGCATCTTAAGGTCCTTGATTGTATTTGTTCCTTCTTCGAACTCCACACTCATCCCGGCATTGACAATGGCAAAGTCATTCTCCTGACATTGGGCCTGCCGGAATCCTGCCACAAAATTCCACTGAGATAGAAAATATTTGTGATGTAAGTTATTGCTTATCTCCATTATTCAATGTACACCGATGACTTGGTGACTATCATGAGGAAAATACGAAGTGAATGACATGAGTTGGAGTACTGCTATATGTTGGGTACGGTCCCACATGCTTCCCACATGTCTTCTCTCGCTGCCATGAGTCAGTGCTGACTCATAGCAGGCCCCCGTGGGTTTCTGAGACTGTAACTGTTGACGGGAGTAGAAAACCTCGTCTTTATTACCGCTGACCTTTCGGATTCCAGTCCAAGGCGTTAATAACCACTACTCATTCTCAGTATACTGGCGAGGAAATGGATAGGCTTAAGTAATGTGCACAAGGTCACACAGTGAGTGACAGGGCTTGAGTTTAGACCCAAGCAATGCCACTTCAGAGTTGACGCCTATCTGTGAATCAGTGCCTGCCATGGAGTCAGTTCTGACTCAGTGACCCATAGGACAGGGTAGAACTGCCCCTGTGGGTTCCGAGACTCACTCTTTACTGGAGTAGAATGCCTCAACTCTCTCTGAGAAGCGGCTGGTGGTTTTAAACTGCTGAATTGCTGGTGGTTTCGAACTAGGGTTAGCAGGTCAACCTGTAATCACTATGCTACCAGGGCTCCCTTGTTAAGCACTACTGCTTCTCAACTCTGAATTAATGCATGAGTCTTGGGTCTTAGTTTTCTTTTCCTGGAAAATAAGAAGGGTAGCCTTGATCAGGAGCTAATGAATAGGGCACCTTCCAGGTCGAACTACCACACCTCCACTTTGATCTGTTTCAGAGGTTGCTGTTGTATGAATATTCTTATTTAATATAGAATTCTATGGTGGAAACCCGCCCCCACCCCCCAACGCATTTGAAAACCACGGAACCAAATGTTCTCCAAGTTCCTTTACAGGCTTGAATCTGTCATTCTAGGCTAAGTCTCATTACAGTGAACCTTTTTTGGGTGGGTGAGCCCTTACTGGTGTGGAGCATTAAAGCCAGGAAAGAATTGTGTGGCCAGCATCTTGGGGAGAAGGAAGAGGGATGAAGTCTGCCTTCTCCCATCCTGTTCCCCGTCAAAGATCACACTCATTCTGATAAAGAATGCAAAGTTGATAAAGAAATGTTCGAGACGTTCTATTAAACTGGTGGCAGTCAGTGCTAACTTGGATGCTTGGTGGGGCCTTTCTTTTCTGTTTCTTCATTTATACATATTGAGCTGCTAACCACAAGGTCAACAGTTCAAACCCAGCAGCCTCTTGGCTAGAGAAAGATGAGGTTTTCTACTCCCGTAAAGAATTACAGTTTCAGAAACCCACTGGGGCAGTTCTTCCTTGTCACTATGAGTTGGAATTGACTTTCTGGCAGCGAGTAGCTTGGTCAATGGTCATTCAACTTTATTCACCCCAACCAATGTACCCTTGGCAAAGCAATTAATCTGCTTGATGATGGAGCCCCAGTCTCCCTCCTAGCTGATCTTACTGCCCTGCCCTGTTCTCTGCTTCCCATGTTCTGTCACCCCTCACCCTGTCGTTCTCCTACCTGGACTGACCACTCCCTTCTCTCCACTGATCCGAATGCTCATCCTTACAGTCTTCCTTCCTCTTTGAACAACTTGAGTAGAAGGCTATCTCCATTATCAGAACTTCCCACGCCTGTTCTACTCAACTGTGGTTTGAGATTATTTAAGAAATCATTTGCCATGGAAACCACGGTGACTCATTTTGATCCACTATTTGTATCACCCTGGAGCTCTCTGATTATTAGTTATCTCCAATTTCAAACCTCTTCTTGTAGATTTAGAGACCTTCTACGACAGGATCCCAGGACTTATAAACTTTTGTCATCTTTTCAAGGTTAATTTCTGTAGGGTCTTCCTGGTTTAGCACTGTGCCTGGCACTTAGAGTGGCACATGACTAATACAAATCAGTTGACTTGGGTGTATCTCTATGATGATGAGTTTTCTGTTTATCAGAAATTTGCTGTAGGTGGTGTTGGCTATAGATTTACTCAGTCTGAGCCAAGACATGTATTCATCTGAAAAGAGAAACTTGAGTCTTCATAATGAAAGGCTTTCTTCTTGCAAGACTGCCATGTCCTCTAGGTGGAGTGGGCACGGAGGCCCACAATGGCTTTAATCTAAGCTTTTAGGAATCCATAAAAATCTTTTAACTCCTTTTAAAAATATAAGAAATATGAATAAATATGATCATATAATGTTGAATCCAGCCTGGATTATCTTTATACTGACACAACCATGAAGTAGAATTTTGAAAATTATTTTCTTAATGGCAGAAGGGATCTATGAAAGCAGAAGTACCTAGGGCCCATGAAAGCTATAATGGGGCTCTGATACAGAAGGCTCCTCCTGTGAGCAAAAAGAGAAGAGGAAGAAATAGTTCTGGTTGGATAATGTAGTAAGCATTGAACTGCTAATCATAAGGTCAGTGGTTCAAACCTACCAGCTGCTCGGCTAGGAAAAGATGAGACCGTCTGTTCCCATAAAGGTTTATGGTCTAAGAAACCTTGGGAAGCAGTTCTACTCTGTCCTAAAGAGCCCTATGAGTTGGAGTGATTTAATGGCAGTGTTTTTCCCCCTGCTAATTATTCAATGCTAATTGCTTTCCTTTGTTTTCTAGTGACTTGGTATAAAGATGTGTTGCTGCTTTATAATTTACAAAATATTTTCCATGCCCTTCTTCTATAAGCTTTCTTTATCATCACTATCTTGCTGTATGTGTATTACCAACTCAGTAACTTGACTGATATTGAGTCTCCTGCATACCCCACCTACGTGGACACTCATTTCCTATCATTAGTTTTACTATTGTTCCTTTTTTTGGGGGTCTGCAAGGTTCTATAAATTCAGCGCTAACCATGTTTTGTACACCTAACACACAGGCGTTATCTATTAAAAGATCATTTTATTGGGGCGCTTTCAGCTCTTGTAATAATCCATACATCAATTGTATCAAGTATATTTGTACATATGTTGCCATCATTATTTTCTAGACATTTACTTTCTATTGAGCCCTTGGTATCAGCTCCTCTTACTCCCCCCCCGCCCCCCCACCTTCATGACCTCTTGATAAATTATAAAGTATTATTATTTTCTTTTAAAAAAATGTTTTCATATCTTAAACCGGCCGCTGCCTCCCTTCCCCCATGCTTCTGTTGTTTGTCCCCCTGGAAGGGCAGGTGTGGTTATGTGTATATCATGGCAATCAATTCCCCCTTTGTCCCCTCCTCTCTCCACCTTCCCCCTACCCTTCTGGTATTCCTGAATTCCCCCTACTCCCATCCCTGTTCCTGGATTCCGTGAGTCATCAACTCTTACCTCTTTTCTGTACCTGTGTACTTGCCCTAGACTAGCCTGCAGTGAGAGGCAGGACTGGGGTCATGATAATGAGGGATGAGGAAGCCTCAAGGAACCAGAGGGATACTGTATGTTTCATCAGTGCTTTACTGTGCCCTGGTTGACTCATCCCTTCCTTGTGACCCTTCTGTGAGGGGATGTCCCATTGTCTACAGATGGGTTTGAGGTCTCTGTTCCACCCCCTCACCCCTTGTTCTCCAGCGATTTAAAAATTTTTTATGTGAACAAGAATTTCCCTGAAGCAGTTAGTTCAACTGGAGAGAGCATCTTTCTCCCCTGCAGCCCCTCCCCAGGTTTGCTGCAGGGCTGGGTTTCGCTGGGTGGGTAGGGAGCTGGAAACCCTTACCTGCGTAGTGGATGGAATATAAACAGATAACACAATCTCTTCTGGTTTGAGGTTGGCTTCAGGATCTCTCTCAAGGAAAGAGCCATTTAAAGGAATCTGCCGTTCTCCTTCTGTTAGAGAAAATGACCTTGGTTAGGATACATTTCTCATAGTTGCTGAGTAACTTGACTACTGCCTGGAAGGTTGGCAGTTTGAATCCACCCAGAAGTGCTTTGGAAGAGAGACGTGGTGATTGACTTCTATAGAATCATTGCCATTGGGAGCCCTATGGAGCACAGGTCTACCTTGCCACACATGGAGGTGCCATGAGATGGACTGGACGCCACAGCCGCTGGATTGGGTTGGTTTTGAGCACATTAGCGAATGAGCTGCACGTGACAGGTGTGATGTATCTGTTCTAAACAGTGAGTGCAGGCTGGGCGCCTGAAGACAGGGCTGCTATTTCCCCGCTCTCTCCTGCTTCCTCATCTCAAAAAGGACAAGGTCGGAGTAGATAGTCTAGGTTGCCTATTCTGTTTTGTCCAGGCCAGGTTATGCCACTCACAAATCTTAACCTTGAGGATCTCTCAAATTGTTTGGCAAGAACCTTGCATGACACGACGTTCACCCGTGGGAAAACGGTGGTCTGGACAGCCAAAGAGGTTAAGGGCTTGTCCACAGTGTCAGAGATGGCGCTGGTAGCAGAGGTGCATTGTGGGTGTCTAGATTTATTTATTAAACAGCTGACTATATTCAATGGTTTCACCTCCGACATTAAAATCAAAGGGAAAGCTTTCCACGTCCACGATCTATGAATAAAATGCAATTGTTGTCATTTCCTTAAGTTCAATTAATTTTCTCTCTGAAAAATCTCAAGATTCCTTTGAATGAAGAGAAAAATAATGATCACTTGACACCCACCCCCCCAACTGGATTTTGTATAAAATGAGAACTATAAGACAAATCGCTGTCTTATTGTTCTACTTTTGATTCAGGTGAATAACATCTGGGGTCTTAAAAAATACAACAATTCTTTTCCAGTCTGGTCCCTGCACCATTGCTCCTGCAAAGAAGGGGCGTTAGGCTATCAACGAGGTGGTGACAGGAGAGGACAGCGTCAACATTCACAAGTGCACCCACGGCGTGGGCTTCAAGAAGGGTGCCCTTCGGGCGCTCAAGGAGATGCGGAAGTTTGCCATGAAGGAGATGGGGACACCAGATGTACACCAGGCTCAACAAAGCTGCCTGGGCCAAAGGAATCTGGACCGTCCCATACCATATCCATGTGCAGTTGTCCAGGAAACGTAATGAGGATGGAGATTCCCCAAACAAGCTCTACACATTGGTTACCTATGTGCCTGCCACCACTTTAAAAAACCTACAGACAGTCAATGTGGATGAAAACTAGTGTCTGATTATCTAATAAAGGTTTTAAAACTGCCCCCCAAAATACAACTATTGGCCTCTTCCCATCTGGAGTAAAAGAGAATGAAGCGAACCAAAGACCCAAAGAAGAAACTATGTGCAATAGTCTACACAAAGCACAGTCTCTTCTGATCTAAGACCAGAAGCTGTAGACGGTGCTTGACTGACTGGTCTGACCAAGGGACACAATAGAAGGCCCCAATGAGAATGGGACAGAATGGAGGACAACACACAAATTTCCACAAAGGTCTGATAGAAACTAGAGGACTATCGTGCTAAGACATCCTTCTACCTTGGAAATGAAGCCATTCCCAGAAGTCACCTTTCATAATAGAACGGCTTATAAACTAAACCATAGCATCCACAGGGAACATGCTCCTTTGAAGGATCAGCTACATGAGGCCAACTGATCACCATCAAAAACAAAAGACAAGTGGCCAGCTTCATGAAACCATGAAATGAAATAGGCCACCAAAATTTAACATCACAGTGATACCTGCCATTACATTTTAAACTGCTTTGCCTTGCCTATGCATCGGCCAGCGATCCTCAAGGTCAGAAGTTTGAAACCACCAGCAACTCCTCAGGAGGAAGAGGGGTGGAGCATTCTACTTCGGCAAACAGTTACAGTCTCGGAAACTCAGAGAGGCAGTTAGTTCGACCCTGTCCTATTGGGTCACTATGAGTTGGCATTGACTCAATGGCAGTAAGTTTGACTTTTGTTTAGTTTTGTTTTGGCACTACAGCTTTAACTGTGTGGACACAGTTAAAAAACATTGTCAAGTAGAATAGATGGCCCGATCTACAGGCTACAGAGTAATAATCTATAGGACAGCAGGGTAACAGATCCCCCTTCCAGCCTTATGTTTGGGGTAGTATAGATAGAATGTGTGCTTAGTTGCTGGATTTGAATCCAGTACACTTGCGTCGCTGGTTCATGGTTTATGGATGGAGCTACCTAAATGATAATTATAAAACTTTGCTCTTAGTTGCTGTCCAGGTATCTCTGATTCATGGTGACCTTTTATACATAATAGAGTATAATATTGTTCAGTTCTGCACCATAGTCATGATGGGTGGTATATTTATTGATTATAAAATGCTTAAAACTTACCTTTGGACTTCAGATTGATGCTAGCATTTCCTGCTGCTAAAATGGGATTGAGGTCAGAGTAATTAGGCCTAGTCACCACATGGCCTCCGAGAGTCTAAAACAAAAAGACGACAGAGAGTTTAGCCACACTTAATTATTTGACAAACAATGAATGATGTGTGCATTTTTCATTCTTTTTTTGGTCTCATAGAAAGATTTGGAAGAGTCTTGAGAAATTTAAATGGATCTAGATAAAATATTGTACAAGATTCCCATCCCTGATCCCAGTCCAAACTTGGTACCTGAGAAAATATTGTTCTCTGTGTGCAACAAGGAGGGCATGCATGTGTCCTTGTTTAGAAGGTTCCTGGGTATGCATGTTGATTTGTTGTGAAGGTAAAAAAGGGGAAGTGAAGGGGAATTGGGGCTGGGGTCAGGAGGTTAAGGAGAAGAGAGGAGTTGCTAAAGGGGTGAGAAACCTCCACATTTACTGCCATGGCGTTGGTGCTAACTCCTACTGACCCTCCAGGGCAAGGTAGAACTGCCCCTGTGGGCTTCTCAGACTGGAACGCTTTACCTCTGGTGATCTCCAACTGCTGATTTTTCACACTGAAGCCCAATGTGTGTGAGAATAAGGTGGAGAGGGTGGAGCCTGAACAAACTCCCAGGAGCAGGAAGGTATAGTACTTACATTTATGTTGTCTGCTGATTCTATGCAATAGAATTCTTTCATTAAAGATGTAGAAAGTAAAAACTACATGGTGGATTTAAAAATTCTGCAGAATTTTATAGCCCTCGCCCCAAATCCCACTGAATTCCTTATCATGTATGGAAGAGAAAGTCGTTTGAATCAATTTTTCCAAATAACAAAGAAACTCTAATAAGCGAGATAGGTGGGGGAAATTCAAGAATGGACATGTGGGGTACTGACCACTGCGTAAAGGCCTAGCAGGAGAATTAGCCAAAAGAATCATAAGCTTTATATTGAACCTTGGATAAGATGTATTTCATAGAACTAGTCAGTACCTTAGAGAAATCTCATTTGGTTCAACCCTAAATTTTAAAATGAAGAGGTCAAATGGCTTTTCCAGGATGATAACGTTCATTGATGATAGGCAAGGATTAGAATTTGAGAACCTTTGGATATATAGTAGAGGCCACATACACATAGTTCAGAGTCTGTGTATATACATATACATACGCATACATACACACTAGAGTCCACATTACACACACACATATATTTTATACACAAGGAGACTTCAAAAAGGTCATGGGAAAATTTCCTTATCTTTGAATTCCATTATTCCAAGAACTTTTTGGAGTTCCCTTGCATAGAGTGTTGTTCAGTTGTATTGGGTTGGTCCCAACTCACGGTGATCCCACTTACAACAAAATGAACCATGCCGGTCCTGTACCCCTCTCACCACCGTGGCCGTGCTCGATCCCATCGTTGCATATGTGATATGCCACTTCTCACAACACCACACGCATGCACACACACACAGAGTCACCGTTTGTAGAGTTGTTCAACATTGGCTTAGATTCCTCTTCACGGCACTTTTTGGATAAAACGGGGCAGAGCCGCGTGAATGCCTGTAACTGTGACTCTACTTGACAATGGAGGACATACCGCCATGTTTCTAATCTGGGCTCCTGCAAGCGTCCTTAGATGCTTCAGCAGAGCACGGTAGGTCTTAGTCTTCTCCTTTGGTTGCTCCGAAACAACTAAGAGTAAGTCATCATTCAACTGGGCCAGGCTGTGTCCGGCGCCTATTGTCACCCCTGAAGATAAGAAATTAGACTATGAGCTTAGTGTGAACAGGGACAAGAAAGGCTGGCGTGGAAATCATCTTTAGACTGTATCTTCCTTTTTCAAATTTTCTTAGAATGATTCACATCAAAGATAAATCTGTGAATTTGCTTTATTCCTAAATGTTAAGTACCAAATCCTTTCTCTTGGGCATATATATAGTCACATGTGCTATGCATTAAAAATTATTTCATTTATTCCCCATTTAGTGCTTCCCTGAGTAAACAGATCAAACATCATCCTATCCCAGGTCCTATGAAGTGTAGTGGTTACACATTCAGCTGTGATCTGAAGGGTCAGCAGTTTAGAGCCACCAACTGCTCCAAGGGAGAAGACGAGGCTTTCTACGCCCGTGAGACCCCTGGGGGTCAGTTCTACTCTTTCATAGAGGATAAGCTGGCATTGACTCCATGGCTCTGAGTATTTTGTTTCGCAGGTCCTATGAGACTTTTTAAAGGCTCTTCAGCCGAAATGAGATTTGACCTGTAACATTTGCACTGTCCTTTTGCCCCATCTCTTCCTCTTGCTCCTCTTGCCTATTACTTGGGTCAGATTGGTGTATAGGTGTGCTCACTGAGTGTGATATAAATAGGACTGTCCGCAAGTCTATGTGTTCTCAGTGGGGGCAATACTGCCGCCCAAAGGGTGAAAAAACCTGACTCTTTTTTTCTGCGTAAAACACAGAAATATGAGGGGACTCCAAAAAGTGAATGGAGAAATTTCATTATTTCTTAATTCAATTTCCCAATGAACTATTTGAAGCAAAAACCCCTATACTGCATATAAACGGATATATAGTATATCTGTGGCATTAAAATTTCATGGCAGGGTGGGTGGCAATTAAGGAAATATATCTAAAAAGGCTACTTAGATGGTCAATAATAAAGAAAAGGTTGAGAAAAACTGACCTAGTTCTATAGGCTCTACCTCCCTGGTCCTCCTCATCCTAACTATCATGGAGAGAGATACAGACAGCTGTCACTGTAGATGAAGCTGTAGATAGAAATATAAAGTTTGGGTGGGGCAATGGTTAAGAAATCGCCATTGAAAGGCCAGTGGTTCAAACCGACACACCTCTGTGGAGAAAAGGTCTGAAGATCAGCTCTCGTAAAGATTATAGCCCGAGAACTCTACTGTGTAGTTCTCCTGTGACAGAGGACCATTGTGCGTTAGCGCTGACTTGACAACACCCCATAATAACATAGATATAGGTAACTGTTCCTTGTCTCAGTTGCAATATAGTAGTCCTCATTTTACCCCAATCGGATACCTCCCAACTTCACCCTCAAGCTTCTGCTCTACCTGATTGGCCTCCCCTTGCTGCATTTCTTCTTGAGAGCCCAATGGCAGGAACGTTCTAGTACATACAAATGAATGGGTTGACTGACTTAAGAATGGCAGACTAGAGGGGAAAGCAGACATTTTTCTATGTGCTTTGTATTTACTAATTGGAAATAACCCTCTTCTTTGTAGGGTTTTTAATTTCTCTAGACTCTTAGCCCTTGAAATGCGTAGTTTGGATAGTGGGTGGCCGGAGATGGTTTTTAGATAACGTCATTCAGGGCTTTATGTGGAAGAAGTACTTGCCTAGAAGGCAGAAGACCTAAGATCTAGATCTGACGGAGCCATTTGTTAGTTGTGTGATTATTAATTCATCTCTTTGAGTCTGTGTCTTCTTTAGTACAATGGAAATAGCAAGGCTACTTGCCATCCGTATTCCCCAGAATTGCAATAGGATCAAGAGTCAGGAGACGAGAAAGAACTCAGCAAAGTGTGAAAAGTGTATGAAAATAAATAAGATTACTTACAGTGAAAATTTCAAACCTGTGGCCCAGATGTTTCACGTGCATGTGAACTTGTGATTGTATGTGTGCCGTGGTCCTGGAGCAAATCTGTACATCCCGAATGACATCTGGCCAGAGCAGTTCCTACTGTCCAGTGTTCATATTTAACTAATCATGCTATACTGGCAGAGCTACCTGACAAGCTGACTCCCATGCTAATGTAGTGCTTAGTGATGCAACTTAATGAAACAGTTTGAAAGCAAACAAACAAATTCATAGAAGACATATAGTAGAGGCTCAATAAATACCTGTCAAACAAATAGTGAATAAACAATACCAGATAATCTCTTTGGTACTCAAAGTAACCTAGTGAATGTATTTGGTTACCAGCATCATAACACCAGCTAATGGAACATCTTTGAAAAAGAAAATGCTCACCATTATCTGTGGTGTCGACAAAATGTAGTTCTGGAATCCAACGTGGAGATATGAAAATCGGATAGAATGCGTTTTTGAATTTTATGCTGGGTCCTTTAGGAGAAAAAGATTTAAGACCATTACAAAAGATAACAGGTGCTAGTAGACGTGGCTTGCTGACTAATCCAGAGTAAAAATTGTGACTTAAGTGACTCATTAGCAAAAGAAAATAATAAAGCATTCTAAAGGACCATAAACCAAGCAAACCCACTGCCTTCAAGCTCCTTTGGACTCACAATGACCCTATACACAACCATCCACAAAGATGAATTGCGTTTCTGAAGGGTTTAAAGAATGGCACAGATGTTTGGCTTACCTAATCTAGACTAAAGCACATAAGTAGGAGCCACCCACCCACTGCAGTGTTCCCCATGATGACGGGGGCTTCGGGAAAATTGGCTTTCAGCTCCAGAACGTCATCCAGGGTCACGGGCAAGATCCAGGTGGTCCTCTCCCCGTGGAACGTCAGTCTTCTCTGGTTCGGATCTTCTGCCATTCTCTGCAGAGAAACCAAGGCAGTGAGCTTTCAAATAAGGCTTTTGAACAAGTTCTGGGCATCTAAGTGTCCTGCTGCTCAAACATTTCATTGAATTTTCAAAGGACACCCAATTTCTAGGACCAGGAAACTACTCAGATTGATATGATTCATGCGGGCACCATTAAATGACCATCCTTATAGGTGGCTGCTCACCAACAAGGGAAGCAGAGTTTAGTAAAGACTCCCTATATTGGAAGGGTGAGAGTGTAAAGAGGAGGCAGCGTGCACTAGTGAAAGTGTCAAATTAAAGTGTTCAGCATCTTATTTTAGTTCTGTCCTACCCATGATTCGATGGAGCCTAAATTTTTGGAATTAGGTTTACTTGCTGCATAGAAATTTCTTAGGTACAGTGTAAATGGACTTTTTTAAAAAAAACAAAGAACTAACTCTATTATGTATAGTTCTCCGTTTGTAAATGAATCGGTAGACTCATGGCTCTCATCTCATTATTAAACATTCCCTCTAGTGCAGCTGTTCTCAACCTTCCTGATGCTCCGACCCTTTCATACAGTTCCTCATGTGGTGGTGACCCCCAACCATAAAATGTTTTTCATTGCTACTTCATAACTGTCATTTTGCTACTGTTAAGAATCGGGCAACCCCTGTGAAAGGTTCATTCAACCCCCAAAGGGGTCTCGACCCATAGGTTGAGAACCACTGCTCTAGTGCATATGGTCATGGAACAAAATGGCCAATACCAGACATTATTTAAATGACTCTTTTCCTTGTCCCCAAGTTGAAACTGCAGAGGTTTTGTTGGAGGAATAATGCAATTCCATTCTAATAACTGTAATTTGGAGTTGGCATTACTAGCTTAACAAAATACTAATTGCCCAGTTAGCTGTATGTGACCTCAGGCCAGCCACCTGTAGGTGACCCTCAGGTTGTTAAACTGAGGGAGTTGAACCACAGAGACTCTGAGATTGGGACACCACCACTCTCCTGGGCGGTCAGCTTTACGTGATTTAGAATGAAGCTGAAAAAGTTCCTAAAAGTGGGTTGTTGACCTCGTATTGTGCAGGGCATTCTTCCAATGTTTGCTACTTTAAAAGACCTTTCAGTAATCACATGATTACACAACATAATAGCAAACTTATCACATTATGTTATGTGTAAATGGTGAGCACACAGCAAACAAAAAATATCTTACTATCAGTTCAGGAGGGAATATAGGCTCCTGGGATGGATCGTATGGCTGGAATTCATCTTCATTATACAGTTTTGTGCATATCTGGACAAAAGGAAACACATTAAACATGACCTTCACAGTTCCTGAGAGCTGAAAGGAGAGCCTTCAGAGTCAGGATTTGTCTGCTGGCACCTCTGACAAATGGAGGCGCTTCTGATGGAGTGCTTTCAATCCTCACAGGACCAACCACAGGACAGGTCCCCCGTAGATTTGCTGGTCTATTGTTTCCCCATTGGGTGTCAGAAACTCTCTGGGCTGGGACTCAGGGATCATGTGTGGTTATTTAGAAGGCACGTGACTGTTGGAGGGTCTCTTCCTGCTTACTGAGGGAAGGATGTGCATAGGTCAGAACTAGGCCTGGGCAGTTATAAAAGTTAGGAACTGTCTAGGGTTCAAAACTCTTTAAGGCTGTCTTTCCCCTGATGGCACACTTCACTCACTGAAAAGTAAAGGAATTGGGAGAAATTTGGATCGATGTGGATTGTTTTCAGTCAATCCCAATCCCCAAGCAGGAAACCATATACTTGCTTTTTCTGGCTTATTCACAGAAGAGCTTGCTTCTTGATCCATGCAGCATTTCCCGGACCCTTTCATTTGACAAACAGTTGATTCCTTAGGAAAAGATCCAGTTGAAAACAAATTTATTGGTTGACTCTATAAATCTCTGCCCGAGTCTCCAACAGAGCCTCACAGGAGCTGTGGGAGAAGTCATGTACGGGCTTCTCGCCCTCTGTGACTCCATACTCCGGTGGGCGGGGGATCAGATATGTGATCAGTGAGCAATTAGGGAAAATCACCAGGGGTGTGCTGCCACACTCAGGCTCCATCTTGCCAACAGTGCCGCCCAAGACTCAGGGAAGAGACGGGGTTAGCGGAGGATGGGATCGTTCTCCTGCCACTATGGTGATTCTGACTCAGTGATCCTATCCCTTGAGAACACAATGACTACATGCTGATGATTATCTTTGCACACAAATCCTGCAGCTGGAAGCACTGCCCTTTGCTCCATACTGCTCCAGCCACGTTCAGTTCCTCTCTGAACCTTGGACAGCTCTCTTTTTCCTAATTATATGTGTCTTCCTGCTTAGAATTTTCTACTAGATTCTCTTCACCCACCCTTTTAAAGCCTGTGTAAACCTTTCCCTTTTCTTATAAATCTCTAATTTTCCTTTCCCGCTCATTGATTCTCTTTAAGCCATGGTCCTTTAAAATGTGCATATGTAGTTTACAAATTACCTTGAGCTTTTAATATCTTGATTTCCAGTCCTGCTTTTATTGTTTCTTTGTTTACGTTTCATTTTCCTCAATAGAGTATGGATTTCTTGAAGTCATGAACCATACACTTAATTTCTTAGGAATGTGCTTAATTGAATAAATACAAATTTATTGAATAACTACAAGTCAGTGGGCATTTAACAACTTTCAGGGGTCAGACAGGTCAACATGAAATTCTTTTAAAGATTATTGAATGCAGTAGATTGTCATTAAAAAAACAACAACAACAACAGGAAAAAACCAGTCCAAACTGATTGCTGAGGAGTTCATCCCAACTTCTGGTGATGCTCCACGATGGAGTGGAACTGCCCTGTAGGGTTTCCTAGGCTGCCAATCTTTATGGGAGCAAACGATCTCATTTTTTCCCCTGTGGAGTCGATGGTGGGTTCAAACTGCACACCTTCTGGTTAAAAGCTGAGTGCTTTAACCATTGCTCTATCAAGGCTCCTTGTCTTATGGAAAGGCCAAATTTAATATTATGCAAAGGTTAATATTAATATACTAACTCAATAAGGTAAAAACATTTTTCTTACCACACAGAAAGTTTTTCCACTTTCTATAATTGGTCGATATCCAGTACAGCGGCACAGATTTCCTGATTAAGAAGGGGTAAATATTAAAGGAAAGTACAAAAATATTTTGCATATCTATACTTCATATTTTCAGTGGAATAGAAATAAGTTATTAGATTTCTATTTGTTCCCTAAATCCAGTAAAATGGCCCTTTGAGCCAACTGTTTTCTTTGGAGGGGATGTTGGTCCAAAACAGATCTTGTGATTACTTTTCTTTCTGAAACGCAGCAAACACCTCCATGGTTTTCCCAACCAACTCTTCCTGATCTATTTCCCTTTCTCCCCTTACCTGGGGTAGCTGGCACTTTCCTAAAGTCTCATGTGTGGCCCTTCAGCAAACCTTTCTCACATAATTTCTTCTCCCTCAAATGCCCACATAAGGAACGTGTGCCGTTCTTCAAGATTCGATACCCCTTCGCCGTGAGGTTGCTCCAACATCCCTAGGCAGGGATTTCATGGTGGCAGGAATATAAACGAATTAACTGACTAAATAAAACTCTTCTTTTAATTTTGAGCATTTTCACAATGGAAACGTATTAGTCTTAAACTAAAAATAAGTTTATTTAAAATCATTACCTTCAAATAAGTTTAAGAATGTTAAGAGAGTAGATGTGTGGCCTGGGCAGGTTGCAACACCTAGGAGTCAAGTGGTGGGGGGAAGCTTAATGCCAGCGAGTCATGGGAAACCCTTCCCTTTGTGAAGACTCTTCAGGAAGAAGCTGCGTGCACAAGAATGGTGGAAGGCGCTGCCATTTATTTCTATTTTTGCTAATATAGAAGAAGGAACGTGGGAGGGTGTGGATTTAGAATCTCTCCTTTTAGTAGAGGGGGGAGCTGAAATGTCCAGAACAGGATTGTGTAGAGTGAAGAAGAAATAATTAGGCAATTGATGACTCTCCGTCTGATAAACTGTAAGCAAACATGAAAGGCTGAAGGGAGCCTCTATCAAAGCTTCATTTTGTCTGTACTTTTGGTCACATGAGCAGTATTAAGCCTGGAGGGGATATTACAGGTCTACCAAGGGAAAGCTAATAGTATTTAACACAGAAACTCTTAGGATTCTAAGAAAAAGATAATGAAAATTTAAAATGTTCTCTTTTTTTATTATAATATCTATAAATTTACCTATGCATTAAAAAAACATAGGAAAGTCACAAGATCTCTACTTTTCAAAGTTTGAAATACTCCATTAGTATGGATTATTTCATTGAACAATGATAACCTATTTTTCAAATCTGAGATGAATAATATAGAGTCACTTAACAAAGTAATCCTAACAACTGATTTTATTATCTTTGTATGCTGTGTATAGTTAAAAGCCCAAAATACTTTGATTCAATCCTAACCAGAACCATAGGCAAAGTTTTAATAATACTTTACGAGAAACTGAAAAACTTTCAGTGAAGAAATTATTGAGAAATAAAAACATTAGAAAATACTTATACCCTAATAACCTAAAATTTAAGTTGGATGTTTGTAGTTCTGTGTTGCTTCACCATAAAGCTGTCTTTCTGTCTTGGTCTAGTTATGGAAAGGGGCAACCAGTTTTACTGTAATATTCTGAGGTTTATTTAACAACTCTGTTCGAAGAGCTACTGAGCTGTTACTTGAAACTGTGTGTGTTTATACATAACTACATTTGTTCACTTTTTATTTTGGGGGGGGGTTAGAAGATTGTGTTCGTTCACTTAAATCCAATCGCTATTTTGTCAGAGGAGATTGAATGACTCACTAAGTTCATACGTGATAATCGATTGTTATGATCAGCCAGATTATGCAAATATAAGAAGTATCTTAAAGTCTTTCAAAAGGAATTCTGGCAAATAAAGTTAATAAATGATTCTAACAAATCAATTTCTATTAAGGAAGACAGGTTTGGAATAAAACAAAACTGGTGAACTTTTGGCATCACTGCTGCCAAAATGAAGATGGTTTTCATGAAAAGGACCCAGGAGGCCTACAGAAATTGACCGTGAACTCTGATTTAGTGAAGTCAAAAGCTATGCCATCAACTTTTCTCCAAGGGCTGGAACCTTCCTCCGGCTCCTCCGGTCTTCCCACCGTGTCCCCTCCCGAGGAGGCTCACCTCCAAGAGCTATCATGATTTGGTCCGGAGTGGGTTCCGGATGGTTTCTTAATAGTGTGTAGATGGACATCACCATGCCTGGACTGCAGAATCCACACTGTGTGCCATGGCACTTGGCAAGTCTTTCCTGGCAGAAAATGGAACATTAATTATATCTCAAACCACTTGTGTTTGCACATTGAATACAGGAAAACTTACTGCAGGATAATCAGTGTTACCCTAGACGAAAAATATTTTTATTTCTTGAAATCATGTATTTTTTGCACACACCCCTTTGCCCGTCCCAAATCAAGTCATTGTACTCATTAGACCCTGGTATTTTTGAAATCTGTGAAATAGGAGATAGAATCTTTCAAAGAACAAAAGACATTGGGATCGAATTGTGAAGAACAAAGGACACTGGATTCATGCTCATGTGAATTTGAATCCTTCCTCATTAATCATACGATCTGGGCAATTTTCTTGATTTTTCTCCATCTGTAACATTGGACTAATAATGGCCTCTACAGAATTGTTGAGATTAAAGGAATGAGTGTGTGCAAATCATCAAGCATAGTCTCTGGCCTGTCCTGAGTGACTTCCCGAGTGATTTCCCGCGCCGTTCACTTTTAGCCCCTGCTCCATCTAGATTAGCGGTTCTCAACCCATGGGTTTCAACCCCTTTGGGGTGCAAACGACCCTTTCACAGGGGTCATCCAATTCATAAAGTAGCAAAATTATAGTCATGGAGTAGCAATGAAAATAATTTTAGGGTTGGGGAGTCACCACAACATGAGGAACTGTATGAAAGGGTCGTGGCATTAGGAAAGTTGAGAATCACTGATCTAGATCATAGGTTCCCCAATTTATTTGTCCTACCGCTCCCTTGCCAGAAAAATAAAATTTCTCAATGTCTCCCTGGCAATGAAAAGCTTTTGTACCATAGCCAAGAATCTCTGCATCCCGCAGAAGCAGGTCTATCCTGCCCTATAGGGTCCTATGAGTCGGCATCGACATCATGGCAGTGAGTGAGTGAATGCATCCTTCTAGCACCCCCAGGACCCACTATGGGAAACACTGATGTCGATTATGAATTTTTGTATGGGCTAAATGACATAATTTTTGAAAATGGTAAGATTGTGTTTAGTAGCATTGTACTGTTTATGCACATTCAACTTTATGCTCTCAAGTACGACCAAACAACAGAAATAGAGCATGAGAAATGACAATTTACCCTTTACTCTGTCCATCCTATACAAAGATCCTAGGCCATAAAGACAGAGCTAAGACACAAGACTCCGTGTCCTGTTGTGTACAGTATTAGAGGCGCTCATCTGAGTGGCTTGAGTGTGATTAAAATATTTCTATTTATTCCATTTTCTTTTTTTTCCATCTCAAGTGGCTGTGCATAAACATCTTTCATGCCACATGGCATCCAAAATGAAAACCAAATACTTCACCGCGACTCAACTAAAGGGACAGAGATCTGTCTTAATGCTAAAAGAGAAGATGGCTATGTTGGGTTTGTTGCTAGTTGGCAAATCATCTCAGATGTCGTACATGAACATAGCTGCAAATGTTCTAGTAAATGTTTAACAATTGAATCTCTTGAAATACAATGTAGGCATATAGGGTAATATCTAGATGCCTATAAGGAAGCTCAGTTAATACAACTATTTAAATTTACACACCAACTATGGGAGCTAGTGATGAAGCAATTGAAGACTTCTGTCAGCATCTGCAGTCTAAATGGGTCAAAAGTGCAATCAAGATGCATTCATAATTACTGGTGATTGGAATTTGAAAGCTGGAATCAAAGAAAAAGATCACTAGTTGGGAAATATGGCTTGGGTGAGAGAAATGAAGCTGGAGATCTCATGATAGAATTTTGCATGATCAATGACTTCTTCATTGCAAGTACTTTTTCCAACAGCATGAACAGTGATCATACACATGGGCTTCACCAGATAGAATATACATGAACCGAATTGACTATACCTATGGGAAGAGTTGATGGAAAAGCTTGATATCATCAGCCAAAACAAGGACAGGGGAAGACTATGGAAAAGTATCATATGTAAGTTCAGGTTAAAGTTTAAGAAAATAAAAACAAGTCCATAAACATATCCCGCCCAAATTGAGAGACTGTTTCAAGAACAGATTTGATTCATTGACCACTAATGATCAAAGATCTGATGAGCTGTGGGAGGACATCAAGAATATCTGATGTGAAGAAACAAAGGGTCATTAGGATCTACATGTGACCTCCTCCCTGGGGGATGGACAGCAGAAAAGTGGGTGAAGGGAGACGTGGGACAGGGCAAGATATGACAAAATAATAATTTATAAATTATCAAGGGTTCATGAGGGAGGGGGTGTGGGGAGGGAGGGGGGAAAATGAGGAGCTGATGCCAGGGGCTTAGGTGGAGAGTGAATGCTTTGAGAATGATGCGGGCAATGAATGTACAAATGTGCTTTACACAATTGATGTATGTATGTATGGATTGTGATAAGAGTTGTATGAGCCCCTAATAAAACAATTTAAAAAATAGCAAAGAAAAATAGACCGAAGTGGATATCTGAAGAGACACTTGCTATTGGACATAGAACGTCTAAAGCAAATGGAAAAATGCTGAAGTAAAAGCACGGAATGGACAAGTTCACCCTGTCCTAGAGGGTCACCTTGAGTTAGCGTTGACCTGATGACAGTGAGTCTGGGTTTTTCCTTCTTTTGTATCATTAAAAAAAGCAAACAAATATGATTAAGTTAATTTTGGAAATAAAATTTGATTTGATGAAATTCAGATGAGAGTTCCCATCTCAGTGGAGTGGAAGAGACAACCGTGTCCCTCACTCTGACCAGCTCACTGGTCTCCTCACTAGTCTTCATGTGGCTGCTGTACTTTCCACATAGCTCCACAGTCCCTTCTCCACGCTGTTCTGAGTCTATCTACCGAAGCATCAAATGTTCTGTAGATTGATCAAGTCTGCTCCTAGCTCTCTCTTTTAAGCCTTTGACTTAAATTTAGATGAGTGTGTAATGGCTGGAGAGTGATTTTGGAGAATGAAAATGAATGGTTTGATGTCAACACTATCTTTAGATGGTTCTCCATTAAGACCAAAGCTCTGTCATGTGACCAGTGACACAGAAGGAAGATGACTGCATTTCAATCACTACCCTTAGAGGAAAGCCCCCCCAACAAGAGCAGACACACGAGTATTCGTGACCTAGAAGGGGCTTTCCTGGCCATGACGACCAAGGTGTCAATTACACACAGTAATAGCAGTTATTACCTAAATCTAACCCAATGACTTAGAACTATGACAACACAACGGGTTCACCCATTATTATAAGGTGAAGGGAAACTGTTCATTGTATTTACAAAAAAGAACACCGAGTTGCATATGTGCAATCGGAGGAATCAACGATAGGAAACAACGTGACGGGACATTACTACTCAGAATCTCGTCACAGTAACTAAGCCGAACCCACTGCTTCAGTCACTAGGTCTTTCAACCGTTGCTCTGGACACTTCTCCCCCTGCTCTCTGGGCAGCTGCCAGTGCTACCCAGGCTCCTCCTGGGCTTCTTCCTACCCCAGCAACCTGCCCTGCAGTACTGCGCTCTGCTCTCCAAGCAACTTGCAGTTGGGCTCCTCTCTCCGCGGTGGCTGTCAGGAGACCTACTATGAGCCCAGCAGCTGCCAGAGCTCCTGTGTGGTGCCCAACCCCTGTCGGACCTCCTGCTATTCTCAAAGGACCTCCACACTCTGATTCTTTGCTGGCTAACTATTGCTGGGTCTCAGGGCTTTCCCGGAAGCAGTGGCTGCTCACTGGGCTTTGGATCTACAAGCTGCTATTCACAAGGCTGTGACTCCAATCACTTCAGACCTCTGAGTTATGGAACCCAAGGTTTCTTTTCTCAGGGTTCTGGATCTGAATTCTGCCACTCAAACTACTTGGCTTCCGGAATCTGCCAGTCTTCTTGTTACAGACCAACCTGTGGATCGGGTTTCTACGGATCGTGTGACTAAGTGTTCACTCATGTTGATGAAAGCCAACAGTGCCTCTATTCATAACCTGTATTGTCTCTCTTAGCTCCAAAAACAACCACCCTCTTATTCTTACATGATCAATTTTGCAACAAGTCACTGGTTCAAAACACTTTCTGTTAGACTTAGAGTTGAAAGATTCTAGACTTAATTTACTAACTTAAAATAAATTCTAAAGCGCACACTGGGGCTGGAATTTATATCATTGCACTTTCTTCTGAGATTGTATAAAACTTCAGATCATTTTAATCTAATAAACTTACTGATTCTAATTATCTAAAAAGAGAAAAAAAGCAAATTCCAAAAGGCAGCTTAAAAAGATGAAGCAAAATATTAGAATGAAATGTGAAAAGACGCAGTATGAGCAAGTCAGAAAGGAAGAACACACGTGGCAGATCCAAGTTGAAAAAAATGAAGAAAAATCCAACACGATGGTTGAGATATTGAAAGATTCTATGGGCAAAATATTGAAATAGCCAGAAACCACCAACAGGAGGTGGAAAGAATACACAAATCCACTGTATTTAAAGGAATTAGTCAGTGTTGAACTATCATTTCAAGAGATAGTATGCAATCAAGGAAGAGGTGGTATTGAAGGAAGAGATCCAAGCTGTATTGAAGGCATGAGCCAAAACTAGACCCCATAAATGGATGGTCTGCCAAGTGAAATGATCCATAAGCTAATGCAGCCTTAGAATCTCGCACTGGTCTATGCCAATAATTTGGAAGACAGCTACCTGGCCGCTGACTGGCAGAGACTCATATTTGTGGCCACAGTAAAGGAAGGTGACTACTAGAATGTGGAAATTATTGAACAATATCATTAGTGTTACATGCAAGTAGTATTTTGTCAAAGACGGTTAAAAAGAGCTTAACAAGGAGCTGTCAGAAATTCAAGCCAGGTTCAGGAGAAGACATGATGTGAGGAATATCTTTCCCAACATCAGGTGGATCGTGACTGAAAGCAGAGACCAGAAAAATGCTCACTGTGCTTGATTGACTATGCAGTAGCATTTGGCTGTGTGGATCATAACAAAATGTAGATAAAATTGGGAAGAATGGAGACTACGGAATACTTGATTACACTCATACGGGACCTATATATAGACCAAGAGGTGGTTATTTGAACAGAATATGGGAATATTACATGGTTTAAAATCAGGAAAGGCATGCCAGGATTCGACATTTTCATCATACCCATTCAAACTGTATGCTGAGAAAAAGGAGGAGTGTTGGCTTAGTAGATTCATTAGACTGCAAGTCTCCAGGTCAGTAGTTTGAAACTTTGAGCTGCTTTTCCAGAGAAAAATGAGGATTTCTGCTTCCATAAAGATTTACAGCCTTGGAAACCCATAGGGACAGTTCTATTCTGTCCTATAGGGTCGGTATGAGTCAGAATTGACTTGAGTCAGTTTTTTGAGTTTTATGCTGAGCAAATAATCCAAGAAGCCAGACTACAGGAAGAGGAACACAAAATCAGAATTAGAAGGGAAAAAGACAAGAATTGGAGGAAGGATTAACAACTGGTGATATGCAGATGACACAACCTTACTTACTGATAAAAGTCAGACTAAAACTTGCGTATGGATTGGAATTCAATGTAAAGAAAACAAAAATACAACTGGAACAATAGGCAGCATAGTGATAAATGGAGAAAGACAGAAGCCGCTAAGGATTTCACTTTACTTAGATCTAGATCAATGCTCATGGAAGCAACAGTCAAGAAATCAAATGACACCCAGCATTAGACAAATATGCTGTGTAAGACTTTTAAAAGTATTAAAGAACAAAGATGGTTCTTTGTGGATTATGGTGTGCACGAACCAAGTATGGTATTTTCTTTTTAAAATCATTTTATTGGGGGCTCGTACAACTCTTAGCAATATCCATATATCCATCCATGGTGTCAAGCACATTTGTACATTTGTTGCCATCATCATTCTCAAAACATTTGCTTTCTACTTGAGCCTTTAATATCAGCTCCTCATTTTCCCCCTCCCTCCCCGCTCCCCCTCCTTCATGAACCCTTGATACTTTATAACTTATTATTATTTTGCCATATCTTACACTGTCTGATGTCTCCCTTCATCCACTTTTCTGTTGTCCATCCCCCAGGGAGGAGGTTATATGCAGATCCTTGTAATCAGTTCCCCCTTTCCACCCCACCTTCCCTCCACCCTCCAGATATCACCACTCTCACCACTGGTCCTGAAAGGGTCATCTGTCCTGGATTCCCTGTGTTTCCAGTTGCTATCTGTACCAACTTACATCCTCTGGTCTAGCCAGATTTGTAAGGTAGAGTTGGGATCATGATAGTGGGGGGAGGAAGCATTTAAGAACTAGAGGAAAGTTGTACGTTTCATTGTTGCTACCCTGCACCCTGACTGGCTTGTCTCCTCCCAGCTACCCTTCAGTAAGGGGGTGTCCAGTTGCCTACAGATGGGCTTTGGGTCTCCACTCTGCACTCACCCTCATTTACAATGATATATTTTTTGTTGATAGCCGGGCACCATCTGCTTTCTTCACCACATTTGCGTATGCACACATTTGTCTTCAGTGATCATATTGGGAAGGTGGGCACCCACTGATATGATTTTTTATTCTTTGATGTTTGATACCTGGTCCCTTCTACACCTTGTTGTCACATAGGCTGGTGGTCTTTTTCCATATGGGCTTTGATGCTTCAGAGCTAGATGGCTGCTTGTTTACCTGCAAGCCTTTAAGACCCCAGATGCTATATTTTTTGATAGCTGGGCACCATCAGGTTTCTTCACCACATTTGCTTATGCACCCATTTGTCTTCAGCGATCCTGTCAGTAAGGTGTGCATCATGGAATGCCAATTTAATAGAACAAAATGATCTTGCATTGAGTAAGTACTTGAGTGGAGGTCCAATGTCCATCTGCTGCCTTAATACTAAACCTATAAATATATGCACGTAGATCTATTTCCCCACCATCCTATGTAAATATATTTACATATGTACATGCCTGTATTTAGACCTCTGTAAATACCCTTTGTCTCCTAGTTCCTTCCTCTATTTCCTTTTAGTTTCCTCTTGTCTCGCTATCATGCTCAGCCTTCATTTGGGTTTCAGTAATTTCTTTCGGTCACATTGCCCTTGCTGAATCCCAAGTATAGTGTTTTCAATTGCCTCTTTTCCATATGAAAGCTCGGCAATCAATAAAGAAATTGCAGAAGATCTGATGCATTTGAATTATTGGTGTTGGGAAAGTGTTGAAAGTACAATGGATTGGCAGAAGAACAAACCAATCTGTCTTTAAAGAAGCAAAGCCAGCATGCTCCATAAAAGTGTGGATCCTGTGGCTTCATCTCACATGCTTTGGACATGTTAGCACAAGAGACAGAGCTCTGGAAAAGGACACCATGCTTAGTCAAGTTGAAGGCCAGCAAAAAAGAGGAAGACCTTGGGTCAGATGGATTGACACACTGGCTCTGACAATGGGCTCAAACATAACAATTGTGAGGCTGGTGAAGAATCGGGCATTGTTTCTTTCTGCTGATACAGTAGGCTTGCTTTGAGTCAGAGCTGACTCAACAACTATCATGAAAAAAAAAAGAGTTCTCTGAAGTTTAGAGAACTTTAAAGCACATTTAAATTGTGCTTTATTGTAGCCTAGTGTACAGTTGCTTGTCAGACATTTGGGAAGCATGTATACACATATTTATTCTCTATCAAAATCCGTGATTTTGAAATGTGGTAGACAACATGTAATCTCTGAAATTGTGGTTTCCTCTCTTATTTGCTTCCCTTGTCATACTGGACTATTTAGAAAAGCACAAAGGGATTTCAAAGTTGGTTACTTAATTGGAGTACATTAGAATTTATGAGATCCATAAATCAACATCAGGCCTTGATCATGCATCTTATGGTCTTACTTGAACAGGGTGAATCCTGGTCTTGATGCTCCCCACACCCTCTACTGTAGTAACAGCAGCTCCATGCAGAGAGCAGATAGGCACCAGGCAAGCCGTCGCTGGATAATGGCTGTGATGGAATTATGTAAGAAAGCACATGGATCACAGGAAGTGGGTAATATAACTCAGCAAGTCAGTGATAGTCCGGGAGAATAAGAGACTCCATCTCCCTGAGAAGACAGAACAGATGAGATATTGAACCATCGATTTTTGGAAGTGCCCAAGAAAGGACTTACACAGGGGTGGTACAAAATGGTAAAGAAAAATGGAAAACCAAGACTACTGAAGCCATATGTACAGGAACCCTCATTCTGTATCTCACTGTCCCCTCTTTTAGAAAAAGAGAGCCTTTTACGTATCTTAAGGAAATCTCCATGGGGTATTTTGGTCCTGTGGTGAGCCTTTCAAAATGCACTTGCTCTGGTTGCTCCCAGGACCACCTCACAGGAGTTTAGGGGTGGTGGTGAGGAGGACACGTGCATAACTTTTAAGCTCTCTGATGACCCCAATGTCCGACCGAGTGTGAGTCACCTACTCCCATGCTAGAGTCGATTTTAATGACATCACAGATGCGGCCAGCACCAGGTTCTCCTCTCCCGGGCTGAGGATGGGGTCCCGATGTCATCAGGGGAATTGAACCTCTTTATTTTCCAGCCAGGCTAGTTTTCATTCCCTTTCAGGGCCCGGGCCTTTGTTCTGCTCCCAGGGAATGTTTGCTTTCGTCTTCTACTCCGCTGCAGGTCCAAATGTTATCTCGAAGAAGAGGTAGAGACCTTTGGGGCCTCTCTTTGGAATCTACCTGCTTGCTGAACAGAGCCTGGTCCCTGTAACTGATACAGTTTTTGTGTCATCCAATTCCATTCCCCTTGGGGATTGTTTCCTATTGATCTTACCTCAGTGTCTTTCCCAGTGAGCACTGCTCTTGTCAGCCTTCCTGTACGTCTCCTCCAGCACTCCCTCAGCCCGCTACTCTGCCACAACTCCTCTGGTTCCATTTCCTGCCCCCTCCCTCTCTGACCACATCTTCTCTTGTCACTCCTGGGGCTTTCCCCATCCATTGTCCTCCTAATCTCCCCCCACCCCACCCCAGGCTCTCATTTCCTTTAGCCAAGAACTAAGTCCAGTGTCTGCTATGCTAAACACAAACAAACAAAAACTCTAACTCATGTCACTCTCCAGCTACTGGCTCATCTTGCTTTTCCTTAACATAGGAGTCCTTTCAAAGGGCTGCCCACAACTTGCTGCCTGCCCTTGCTGGCTTCCCCCCACTCCTCTGCCTCACTTCCCAGTCTGCTTCACTGCAGGTGTGCCTTTGGAGCAGTCTAGTGGCACCGGGTCCCTCACTACCTTGTGTCTCATACCATTGACTCCGGCTGTCTTCTTGGACTTCCTGCTCTCTGGTTTTCCTCCCGCTAGTCTGGCTCCTCCCAGTTGTTCTGTTTCATAAGGCTGCTTTCTTTCTCCTTTTCTCTTTCTCTTGGTCTCCGACAGTCTCCTGTGTTTACTGGCTCTCCTGTCCTTTCTGCTACCTTTTAGACCTCCTAGGACATCCTGGCTTTGCCACTGACTGGCCCATATGATCTTGCGCAAGTTCCCTAAACTCTCGTTGCCTCTGTTTCTTTTTCTCTGAAACGGGAGTGAGAGCATTGCCTATTTCCAATTGTTTCAAACAAAAAATTCAGCAATCTATCTAAGCAAATTTGAACAGTGCCTGATAACAAAAAGCATTCAATACATGTTAGTTATTTGTATTGTCATTGATTTGTTCTTCTATGTCGATGCCTTCCAATAAATTATAGCACCAGATGAGAGCTCTCTTCTGTGTGACAGCACTGCCAATCAAAGAGCCATGCTTCTTGGATGCCCCATAGTTGTCCCAAAGGCAATGTATCTAAAGTTAAACTTACGAGGTGCCCTTCCCTGCTGCTCCTTGTCCAGGTTCCTTAGCTTGTGAACTACACCACTATTCACCCAGGCACCCCACACAAAAACTCAGAAGTCATCCCAGACTCCTCCTTCATGACTACATTCAATCACTGAGCAAATTTCACACTGTAGATGGAGTTGACACCGGCTCAGTTCATAGGTGAGCAGAGCATGCGTTCTGATTTGAGGTCTCCTTCAGCCCTGCCAGGACCATGACTCTTCTCAAGGTCCCTGGAAAACCTTCCTATTCTCCCAGGACTGTCATTGCTTCTTCGTGCTAAGGCTTTCACATCCAGCCCCTCTTGTGAAACTCCCCACGGAAACATAGAGAAGGCATGCAGAAATAGAGAGCAGAGCCCAGAGAGCTTGGCACGAAGGGCAAGTCTATTCATACCGGAAGGAAGTCTGTGAGAAAGACCTGGTGTTAGGGGCGCTGCAGGAGAAGTCTGGACGCAGCGCAGAGGAGAGAGCACCTGGAGAGAGGAGGGAGGCAGCACCTGTGGATAAGGAAAGTCCTAGAAGCGACATCCTCTACGGTATTCCCCGAGCAGGGCCACAGGTCAACACAAAGGATACAGGATCTTCTTGGTCTTGGGGTTGTATCTTGATATCATCACCGTGCAGGCACCGCAGCCGCCCCCTCCACAGCCATATTTAGTTCCGGTGAGGTAAACTTGAAGGAAGAGAGTCAAGGGAAATAAGAGCCCAGCCTACGTTTATTTCTCTATCTTTTCTTCTCTCTGGTACTAGCAACCAAGATTAAGTTTACAGTGATGTACTCGTATAACAAGCCTGGGAAGATCTCTTGTTTTTGAGATTCTTTTCAGAGCAGTGGCATACTCCTGTATCTGAGACCATGAAGACTCGATGCTGTTCTGAATTTAAATATTTTCAGGTCTTATAAAGGCAGTGACATGGGATTTGCAGTAGGATCTAGAGCAGAAACTTGGAATTGGACACAAACCTTTCCCAGTGAGCCACATGGAGAGTCGTGCCAAGTGGGACACAGGAAGACTATAAAGAGCCCTGTGCCACCGAGTCCAGGTATTGCAGCCGAATGGGTTCAGCAAACCCTGGCTGCATTTTCAGAGTGGTGAATAGCAGACTTTGGAGCCGGGTAATGTATTTGCTGTGGACGGTGAATGCGTAGAACTGAGAACAATCCCCCTGTAGGACTGAGCAATGTAATGATACTTTTACCATTTTCTGGATTCGAGAATACTAATTTAATCACCATGATTCCTGAACCCGGAAGGTCGACAATCACTCCGTACCTCCTTTTCCCTTGACGGTGTCTGCTTACCTTCACAAAGGGAGAATAAACAATGTACATAATCCTCCTGCTTGAGGTTCTAGAAGAATCTACGGGGATTTACTTGAGACCTCACCCCAGTGAAACTCAAAAGGACTTACCTGGGTGGAGGTCAGAATTGGCTTTGGAGGAACGCCCTTGCCCACAAGCTCTGGCTTCCAGGGAACCTCCTGTGCTAGTCTCTTGAGTGCCCTTCCTCTGCGTCCCAACCATGCAGCACTCCTCGCACTGGCTGGAGGTCTCTGTTCACTGACTGGCACAAGCTATGTTCCCGGAGCTCATTTCTGAACTCCCGGGCCCTTGGCACTCTTTTTAGTGGAATTAAGTGTGCGCTGTTTTGAGAACTTCACGAAGTATTAGCAGTGCGGTGAAAGACATGGAAAGGAGTGGGAAAGCACGCTTGCCACAGGGATATCCCATTTCATCAGTTTGATTTTGAAACCAAGTTCTCACAGGGATTAGGCAGCTTTAACATGCCACACCCTCCTTTGCTCCAGCGGCTGAGAGCCCTCCGCTTTTTCTGAGGCATGATCTGATTCTGTAGATAAGGTTGCTTAAAATCAGGCTTACAGGTGTTGAGGGGCAAGGGATATGTGACTATACCCAAGCAAGTCTAGGCTGGGCTGGGTGGGTGAATTAATAGGGGCTGTGGGCCCCTGGTGACATAGTGTTTATGAGTTGGGCTGCTGTCAGGTCATCAGTTCAAAACCACCACTTGCTCCGAGGAATAAAGCTGAGGCTTTCTACTCCAGTAGAGACATATAGTCGCCGAAACCCACATGGACACTGTGGCCCTGTCCTTTCGGGTGACTATGAGTCAGAATTGACTCGGTGGCATGAGTTTGGCTTTGGTTTGGGGGCCTCTGAAGGAGCTGTCACCTGCAGCCTTGGAAGGAGAAGGAGTTGAATGGTACCGCCTCCAAAATACATTCTGCTCTGAGTCAGATGATGTCCCCCCTGGGGTGACACATCCGTCAGGCTCCAAGTCAGTGGAACATCGGGGCTTTGTGGGAATCTAAAGTTTAAAAAAATAATCTGGGGATCTACATTGAGGATGATAATCAAAGCTTTGAATACAAATCTAGCTACAGGGCTTTTGAAGGGGACATGGGAATGCTGTGATAGTGAAGTAAGTCAATGCTGGCGTGTCTGTGTTGGGTGACAACCCTGATAGAAATTCTGTGGTTCTCCACAAAGAGTCACTCCTCGTCTGGCTCTTCATTAGAATGATGCCCTCGAGGAGCAGGTCATCCTACTCCATACTGTTGACCCTGTAGTCCAAGGTCGAGGTTTAGAAGTCTCCGGCGAGTCTTATGTACCTAGAACGAGTTGTTTACGATATTGCTGTTGTTCAGTAGGACTCTGGTGGCACCATGGGCTGCACATTGAGCTGCGAAGTACAAAGTTCGTGACCCAAACATACCAGTCACTCCAAGGGAGAGGAGGCTGTCTGCCCCAGAAAGACAGTCTCAGAAACCCACAGGCATGGTTCTCCTCTGTCCTTCATGGTCGCTATGAGTTGGAATTGACTTGGTGGCAGGGAGTTTGGGTTGTGGTTTTGTTGGGGGATGCTGCCAAGTTGAATTAGATTCCTAGCAACTCCAGCATGTGCCAGACGAGAACTATCCCATGAGGGTCTCTAGACCGCCGTCTTCACGGCTGCGCTTCAGCCCAGAGTACAGCCGGCGTGCTCCTTAGAGGCAAGGAGGTTGAGATTTCATCTGACATGCTTTGGATGTGTTGTCAGGGATAGACCAGTCCCTGCAAAAGGGCACCATGTTTGGTAGAGTTGAGGGGCAATGAAAAGGGGAAGACCCTCAAAGAGATGGATTGACGCCATGGCTGCACCGTGAGCACAAGCAGAGAAACAATGGTGAGAAGAGTGTACTGCAGGACCTGGCAGTGTTTTGTGCTGTTGTGCATACGGTCACTATGGGTTGGAACCAACTCGATGGCATACAGTAACAACGACAACCACAACAGTCTTGTTGGGGGCAGATCACCAGGTCTTTCTCTGGCAGAGCCACTGAGTGAGTTCAACCTTTGGTTAACTATCAAGTGTCGCACCAACAAACCCAAACCAAATCAGAATTGACTGCCATCGAGTCAATTCTGACTCATAGAGCCCTACAGGGTGGAGTAGAACCGCTCCTGGAAGTTTCCAAGACTGTAAAGCTGAAAAGAGAGAAAGTCTTGTCTCTCTCCCACAGAGCTAGCTTATGATTTCAAACCGCTGACCTGTGGTTAGCAGTCCAATGGGTAAGCACTACTACTGGGGCTCTTTCTTGTTCCACCAGGACTCCCTATTTATGATACGAGGCACAAGAAAGGAATATGCAGAGGGTGGAGTTGAGGAAAATGGGAGAGGGAGACAGTTTTACATAGGGATAGGTCTCAATAGGTTTACTTGGGAGTCAGTGAATTTTCCTCTTGAACTTCATGTACATGCATTCCTTCATGTAGGACGCCTTGAGAAAACATGGCCAAGTATCCTGGGGATGAGAGAAGGTGAGTGATCGCATTAGCTGACAATGGGGAGAACTCAGAGCCCTGGTGGCGTAGCAGGAGACATGTTGGGCTGCTCACTGAAAGATCAGCTGTTTGAAAACATCAGTCTCTCTGAGGGAGAAAAACCAGGCTTTGTTCTCCCCTAAAGAATTACAGTCTTAGAAACCCAATGGGTAGTTCGATTGTGTCCTAAAGGGTCGCCTCGATGGCAGGGAGTTTTGAGAAAGCTGGGTGAATGGGGACAGGATGGTGCCAGTGGGGGAAGACATGGCCTAAAAGTCCAATGCTTAGAACAAAGACTGGCTATAAACTGGTAGTAAAATGACAGGTAGGAAACCAGATTGTGAGAGGTTAAAGTAATGGGAGGTGGAATGTGGAGAGAAAATGAAGCATCAGAGACAGACGGTCTTTAAATACATTTGACAGGGAAGGCAGGGCGAAATGAAGCAGCGCTTCAGATAAGTGTGTTTGGAGAAGAGAAACATGGAGAGAGAGGATAGGATGATCTCATTCATCACTGATCTCCAGAACCTAGCACAGTGCCCGACACAGTAGAAGCTTACTAGGTACATAGTTTAAATTATTCTCTTCAAATAATTCTAGAATCATAGGCAATGGCAACAGCAATGCTAAGAATATTGTGTAACCCTTTGCCTAGCTTTCCTCAGTCGTGGCATCCCACATTAAAAACCCAAAGATTCCCATTGGCACAACACTGTTACGGAGGGGTGGATGCTCTTGCGTGATTAACAGAGGCTTACGTCCATCTGCAGGTCCTTTGGAAGGAAATGATCCACTTCAGGAATTCAGTCACGGAGAATTCTATGGAGCACAGTTCTATTCTGACCCACAGGTGCTCCCGACTTGTCCTCAACTTGACAGCAACTCATTCCGACCACAGACCTGACTCTCTTCATCTGCTTTCCATGCCCTCATCTGTGCTTACTCATAATTTTGCGCAACTTTATCCCATGTTTGGTTTCATGTTACCACTACCACAATCACACCCTCGGTATAGTCCTTATCTCTTTATCGTCACATCTATTGTCAAGAAATGTTTTCTGGATAAGTATTTCTTGAACACCCATTGAAGATCTTAAAGGACTAGGGAGTGAACAAAGGCCAAGAGCAGAGGCAGAGAATCATGAATGCATTCGTCACACGGTGGACTGTTGAAGACATATGTCTGTAAAGTTTTGTGTTCTTTCAGAAAGATGACCTTGGGAGAAGCTAGTGTTGGTGATATGCAGCCTGAACATTGGCTGGACAAAACTTGTCTAGACATTTTTACATCAACATCCTTGAATATAAGATCACGATAAAGATGATGAAAATCATAAAGTTATTTCCAAAGTTAGCACAGCCACAATTCACTGTATGGGTCTTTTGATTTTTCTTAGAAAAGAAATGTAATAAAGAAGAAAAAATCGATCACATTTAGACACAGTCTCTGAAATCCATTTGGATGCTACACATCCAGCACATGGTCATTGACACAGCGAAAACAGTTATTTTCTTGATACGTCTTGAGCATGTTTACCCTTTACTGCCCAATCCAGACCAATGGAAGTGCGAGATAAGGATACGGGATTTCCTCACATACAGCAGTAGGTTTTCCTCAGGATCAGCATTCTTTTCGATTACCTGCATTGTGAAATGAGAAGGATTTCAGAAGGATTAGATCAACGCCTTTTGGCAATCCTATCCACTGCTTTGGAAACATGTTTTTGATAGGCAGTGGTTTCGCAAATGAATAAAATAGCACAGAAAAGCCTTCTGACACTTGGCATCAGAATTCTGAAGAAATTGTGGATCATTATTTCAATATCTCTGAATATTCTAATCGGTATGCAAATTCTGGACTTTCCCCCACTCAGATTTACTTAGAAAAGACTCAGATGGCATAACAGATACACAGACAATGAAATGATATATGTAAAGGGCTAAAGGAAAAAACCGACCAATTATCAATTATACTATACCCAGTGAAACTATTCTCAAGAAGATGCATTAAAATAAAAACCTCTAATAAAGGGAACTGGATGGACAAGCATAGAGTTAGTAATAAGATCTTCCCGATAATTCTCAATGATTTGTATTTCATGTTTTTAATAATAAATATATAAAGTTCAAGGATAAAATTAGGTCACAGGACACACAAAATATATGGATGCAATTAGTGATAACAACAACAAAGGTATGAGAGAGAAATGGTGTAGAGACAGAATTTCTTGTACATCACTGAAGTTTAGTTCTACCAACTTACCCTATGATGTTATACATATAAGTTCTTAAATATACTATTCATGTTAAACACTAACATATATATTTTAAAATCACTCAAAAGAAAAGGAGAAATTTTAAAAAAAGAAAAGGAGAATTGACCCCCACCCCCCCCCAAAAAAAACCCCACCAGAAAAAACAAAACACAAAATCAAGCAGAAGCATCAGACAAAGACTAGGAAAGTTTAAGACACTCACATAAAAATAACAAAGTGCAGAAATAATTCAGTTCTTCACAATAATTACAAGCACACATAACCCTGACACCCAAACAAGACAAAGATACTACACAAAAGAAAACCACAGGCAAGAAGCAAAGATTTTTAACAAAATACTAATAAACAAAACTGTAACAACCTATTTAAATAGTCATGCATAATAACCAAGTGGAATTTAGTAAAGAAATGCAGGGGTGGCTCAACATTAGAAAATCAATCAATGAAATATGCATCCAGAGAATGAATAAAAAGAACTTCATGATCATCTCTATAAATGAAAAAAAAAAAAAAGCTTTTCGTAAAACCCAGTACTGTTTCCTGATTGAAACCTTAAAGGACATTGAAGTAGAACGAGAATTTCTCAATCTTATTCAAAACCCATATGAAAAACCTAACCCCACATCATGCTTTACTGGAGACTGAGAGCTGTTCTCTTACCATCAGGAACAAACAGTTCCACCTCTTTTATTCAACATTGTGATAGAAGTTCTAATCAGAGCCGTTAGGCAAGAACAAGAATACAAGTATTCAAACTGGAAAAGAAGAAATACAATGATTATGTTTACTAGGTGATATCACCTTCATATGTAGAACATCCCAAAGCGCCTGCAGAGCACTCCGAGAGCTAGTGGAGGACTGGAACAAAGTGGCAGAGCACAAAGGCAGTGAACGAACAGAAGCCAGCTGGTTTTCTGTACACCAGCAATGAGGACTCTGAACGCTGCATTAAGGACACAATTACACTTACAAGCTTATCTGAGAAAATAAAATTTCTAGGAATAAGCCAGAGATGTGAAGGAATTATACAAGGAAAACGATTGCTATAAGAGATTAAAAATACTTAAATAAATAGAAAGATGTTTCATGTGCAAGGACTTAATATTATTAAGATGTCAGTACTACTCAAAGAAATTTATTGGTTCACCATAGTCTGGGTGAAAATCTTTTAGCCTCTCTATAGAAATAGAAACACCAATACTCAACTTTATATGGAAAGGCAAGGGCCCTAAATAGCTAAAATCATGCTGAAAGAGGAGAACAGAGTAGGAGGACTCATATTTCCTGATTTTAAAAAATGACACACAGCTACAGTAAATGAACCAGCCTGGTACTGGTACAAGAGCAGACACATAGACCAATGGTGTAGGGATGAGAGTCCAATAAACTCACAGAACTTTGACCTATCCATGCTCTGACAAGAGTGCTAAACCCAGTCAGCGGAGAAGAGTTCCTTGAATAAATAGTGTTGGGGAAAATTAGATTTCCACAGGACCCATTCCTTATACCATATACAAAAACAAATTCAAAATGGGTTAGACAACTAAACCTGAAAACTAAAATCATAAAATTCTTAGAAGAACAAATAGACCTAGCTTCCCACAATATTTTGTCTACTATAATAACAAAAGCACAAACCATAAAAGACAAATGTAAAAAACGGGAAGTAAAAATATTAAGTAAGATGACAAACTACTAACTGGAGACTATCTTCAGAAACCATATATCTGATAAGATCCTAAAAACCAAAATGCATGTAACCTTGAAAATGAATCTAATCAAAATAAACAAAGAACTTGAATTGACATTTCATCCGAGCGAATACTCACACGGCCACCAAAACACATAAAAAGACATTTAAGTAAACAGCCATACTTTTCTTCCAAGGAGTGGCTTGTGGGTTTGAATTGCCCACCTTGAGATTAGCAACCTAATACCTAAAGCACAGCACCATCAAGGCTCCTTCCCACTAGGATGGCTACAAACAATGGAGAAAACAGGGGGGTGTGGGGAGCAAACTCAGAAAATAACACATGTTGGTAAGAATGCGGGGACTCTGGAATCTTTATCCATTGCTAAGGGATCCTGGCAACGTAGTGGGTTACATGTTGGGCTGCAAACCGCAAGGTCAGCTATTTGAACCCACCAGCCACTCTACAGGAGAAAGATGAAGCCTTCTATTCCTGTGACGATTTACAGTCTTGTAAACTCACAGGGATAGTTACATTCTGCCCTAGAAAGTCACTGTGAATTGGAATATACTCAATAGCAGTGTGCTTTTAGTTTATCAAGTGCTGGTGGTAATGCCATAAAGCCTCAACCTCAAAGATAAACAAACAAACAAACCCTCAACTTCATTGCCTTTGAGTCAATTCTGACTCACAGAGATCTTATATGACAGGTGAGAATTGCCCCCTGGGGATTTCTGAGATGGTAACTCTTTATGGGAGTTGAAAACCTTATCTTTCTCCCATGGTTTTCAACTGCTGACCTCACAAGTAGTAGTAGCCCAACACATAACCAACTATGTCACCATGGTTCTTAGAAAGCTACCATGTGATCCAACAATTCTGCTTCAATTATGTACCCCAGAGATTTGAAAACCAGACTTGTCCATCAATGTTCATCGCAGCACTATTCACAATAGCTGAAGGTGGAAACAACCTACAACCATCAGTGGGTGGAGGGATCAATAAAATGTGGTTCATACACACAATGGAACACTAATCAGGCAACAGGTAAAAATGAAGTCTTAAGACATGCTACCTTATGGATGGAGCTTGAAGACATTTCATTGCATGGGACAAATCCTTCACAAGGGACAAATACTATTTGACTTTACGTACATATCAAAAAAATCAAGAAAAGGCCAATGTGTACCAAGGTCAGAACATTAAACCATTTCAAGAGGTAGCATATGATTAAGAACCAATGGTACCGAGAGAAGAAGTCTAAGCTTTATCAGTTTGTGGAAGCATTTCAATTGATATTCCAACAGTGGTTCAGCAGGCACTCGAAGTACTCAGTAGTCTGCCAGGAAATTTGGAAGATAACTATTGTCCAGCTGGTTAGAAGAGACCCCTATTTGTACCCATTCCAAATAAAGGTGACTCAACAGAATGCTCAGATTATAGAATATCATTAACATCACATGCAAGTAAAATTTTACTGAAGATCATCCAATAATAGGTGTCGTAGAATGGTAGCTGCCAGAGGCTCAGGTTTGGATTCAGAAGAGGACATGCAGGAGTGATATAATTGTTGGTGTCAGATGGATCCTAGCTGAAAGAAGACTACCAGGAAGATGTTTATTTGTGTTTTGTTGACTATGTCATGGTATTTGACTGTGTGGACATACAAACTATGGATATCCTTGAGAAGACTGGGAATTCCAGGACACTTCAAGAGACAGTTGTGTGAACAGAACAAGGGAATACTACATAGTTTAAAAACAGGAAAGGTGTGTGTCAAGGTTGTATCCTTTCACCATATTTATTCAACACGTATGCTGAGTAAATCATCAGAGAGCTGGACTATGTGAAGAAGAATGTGGCATCAGGATTGGAGGAAGACGTATTAGCAACCTGTGATATGCGGACAACACAACCTTACTGAATGCAAGTGAGGAGGACTTGAAGTACTTGCTGATGAAGATCAAGGATTGCAGCCTTCAGTCTGAGTTATAAATCAATGTAAAGAAAATCAAAATCCTCATACCTGAGCCAGTAGGTAGCATCACGATAAACAGAAAAAAAGATTGAAATTCTCAAGGTTTCATCTTGCTTGGATCTATAATTAATGCTCATGGAAGAAGTAGTTAAGAGAACAAATGATTCACGGTATTGGGTAAATTTGCTGCACAAGACCTCTTTAAAGAGCTGAAAAGCAGGGATGTTACTTTGAGGACTAAGGTGCATTGACCCAAGCCATAGTGTTTTTAATCACCTCATATGCTGGTGAAAGTTTGACATTGAATAAAGAAGACCAAAGAAGAATTAATGCACTAGAATTATGATGCTGGTGAAGAATATTGAAAATACACGAATTTCCAAAAGAATAAACAAATCTATCTTGGAAGAAGTACAGCCAGAATGCTCCTTAGAAGTCAGGATGGTGAGATTTTGTTCATGTACTTTGGACATGTTATCAAGAGAGACTAGTCCCTGGGAAAGGATATCATGCTTGCTAAAGCAGAGGAGCAGTGGGACAGAGGAAGATCCTCGATAAGATGGATTGATACTGTGGCTGCAACAATGAGTTCTAACACAACGACAATTGTGAGGATGACACAGGACCAAACAGTGCTTTGTTCTGTTGCACATAGGTTGCTAGGAGTCTCAATGGACTAGATGATACTTAACAACAACAAGT